CTGGTTACAAACAGACACGACCCGTTTAAAATCAATGAATATCGGAGAGGAAATATTATTGCATGTTCATATTTATATATATCTTTATATTATATATTTTTACTATGAACTTGAACGAATTTTGAATTTATATCTTGTAATGTCTGATTTCACATGTATTTATTGTAATGTAATTTGTTTATCAATTTGTAAAAAGTCACACAATTCAGCCTTCGGGCTGCGAGATGATTTTCAATAAAACAAACCATTTATAATAATTTCTTACTCGCAAAATGACATTCGGGTTCGAAACCAAGGCGATGCGCTTACTGCCCTTTGGTAAGGCATTAATCCTCATTACCAGGTCTCTCGGAGAGGACCTTAAGACGTCGGTCCTCTGGTTGCTTACTAACAAGCATTTGTGCTTTCTTAGCAGTCAGGTGAATAACCACCGCTATACAACCACTACAACTACTACATGCGAATTTAAAGGCTACGGATGAGGGGTGTTGGGGTGTAGCCTACGGGAGTTTGTCAAGGCTCCATATTTTCTCTGCCTATTCCCTTCCTCCCTTCCCTTTTGTTGGTTATATATATATATATAACTCTCGATTGGGAGGCACCTATATACCCCATGTCCCTTGCTGCAACGCCACTGGCACTGACCCGTGCATTCGTTCAATTGAAGTTTTCTTGATGCAGATTATTTCATCGTTTTAAGTGACTATGAAAAAAATTAGAGAGTTATCCGCACGAAACGAAGGTTAATTTGATACGTGACAGAGACGCAAATGCGCAGAGTCGTTGAGGTAGAGGTAGATGTAGAGAGTCGAGGTTTCACTGAGAAGGGTTTTACAATGCACTATTGACCGCTGGTATTGAGAACCCATATGGTTTGTTTTTTTATTTGGCCAGAGAGTGAAATTAGTTATTGACCTTTCTGGTTTTATTGTTCTTTGTATGCCGGTATACTAAAGAATGATATATATATATAGGCCTATATAACAACAATAACAGGGTCAAGGTATCTCAAAGAATGCGCTATTGACCACTGGCATAGGGTATTGACAGTTCGTAGGTTTAAGGCAGGAGAGTGAACGTAGTAATTGACTTTTCTTTGTTCTTCATTCTTAGACTGAGAGTTGACTGACGGACGGTAGGTCAAGGTGTTTAGTGAAGGGATTATCATATAAATGGATTAGGTACATCGTGGGCTCTTTCGGTCTCTCATCGAGAGGAGAGAAGTGAAGTATAAAGACCAGTTATGGTCATGCGATTACATTGTAAAAGAAACGTTGTGGAATCGATCAGAAAAGGTTGATCATCTAGCATATATATATATATTGGTGTGTACTGCAAGGTTCTGGAATCATCAAATTGATAAGAAATTTGGCCCAGTGTAGGTAAAGTTACAAGCACTGTACACAAAAAGATGTATATGACTTCGCGCCAGGTGCGCGACACGTGCGCAATATATATCAGGTCCAAATAGATATAATAATTTACTAAATATATCAATTTGTAGGCGGTTTCTCGGCAAAATTTGTATCATTACGTTTTAGTCAAAACATATTCTTTCACATGATTGGTAATAAGAGCTTCCATTTCATTTTTGAGAGGGGAGCTTTTCCAAAACTGGTCTTACTTTAAACCGTATGGATCGATGCAGTTGTTTTAGTCTATTCCGATTTGATATGAAATCGAAAAACAAAAAAAATTGAACGTGGATTTAGGTAATCCAAACAGTTTATTCCCCTTGTTATATTTGGGTATTGTTCAGTTTTTACAGAAATATTTTTTTCAAATATATACCGTCACTACGTCATTCACTCATTTAATATCTTTCGTCTCCCACCCCCACCCCTTCCATGCATATTCATCGGTATTCATAGACTAACGTCATTGCCTATTCAATGTCTATATTGTTTAGTTTTCATACCTTTTTCAATACCGTCGCTACGTCCTTCACCCATTAATAATAGCGCCTTTTCGACATCGTAAGCAGAGCGTAAGCAGAGCGTGAAGGGGCTCGTAATTGGACACTTGTCTCTCCATTGACTTTCCTTGTTGACTCAGTTTTGTTTTAATATCTCGAATGATAACACTGATTGCCCTATTGATTGACCTTACCCCCCCCCCCCCCCTCCCCACCCCCAACGAAACGAAATATCGATCGGCCAAATTTTGAGACACACAACAAAAATCGTCCTTGTTTTCACGAAGTGACGGTAGTGAGGAAAATCCACTACCGTCACTTCGTGAAAACAGCGACGAAATGTGCTCTTAAACCCCTCCCCCCCCCCCCCCCGCTTATTCAGCGGCTGGCTGAGTCGTTGCCAATTTTTCGGCGTGATTTTTAAATTTTAACCCCCCCCCCCCCCTCGAAAAAAAATCATGCGTACGCGCCTGGATAACCCTATGGATGAATCAGTCCGTTACGATCGAAATAGAATTTTAATTTGGTTTCGTATCAATTAAGGTAACCAAACGAAACTAAACAGTTGATAAGCAGATTTCATAATTTGAGGACAAGGGTCACCTCTATTTTTGATTAAAGTAACGTAAATGTTTCGCCTCTAAGTCTGAGGTGAGGCTTTCTAACAGCCCACTCAGCAGCCCCCCCCCCTTCCCTTCCCTCCCTCTCTTCACTCAAAACTCACGTCTTCCTTCAGACATTTAAATGCTAACTTTATTGGAGGAGCTCGCGCGAGTTAATGTTTTTTTAAATAGATATATGGCGCCATAGAAATGCTGTGAATCATCATCATCATCATCATCTGTCTCTGTCTCTCTCTCTCTCTCTCTCTCTCTCTCTCTCTCTCTCTATCTATTATATATCGCTATTTTGATATATCTGCACATACCCCCTCCCAAATCTCTCTCTCTCTCTCCCTCCATATCTATCTATCTCCATCTAACTATATACCCCCCCCCCTCTCTCTCGATCGCTATCTTGATCTATCTACACAACCCCCTCCCGAATCTCTCTCTCTCTCTCCCTCCCTATATAACTCTATATCTATCTATCTCCATCTAACTGTATATCCCCCCCTCTCTCTCTCTCCCTCTCTCTCTCTCTCTCTCTCTCTCTCTCTCTCTCTCTCTCTTGAAATAATTGTTATTTCTCTCCCTGTCCCATTTATCCTTCATCACTGTATCAATGCAATGAAGATCATGACATGGCCCCGTCTAAAGAGGTTTGGATGTAATTAATGTTTTGGTTGGCTCGCCCGCTTGCCGCCTCGCTGTCCCCATCTTTACGAATTAACATTGTATTATATAACTTTATGTACTTTCAATGCCCTGCATTTTCCAGTAAAATGGAAGTGTCCTGGGCTATTGTATATTTTACTTTGTTGTGCAAGTTTGAACAATAAAGTGATGTATAAAAAAACAATCGCAACCATGCATGTCTAAGACCTCCAAAAGTGTTTACGACTTTTTCTGCCACTTTTAGTTTTTATCTGTTATTTCTTTTTCCTTCCTCATTAAAGGAGAACCAACCCCAAAGATAACTTTATTTGTTGTGAGAGATTTATTGCACTCTTGCCCATCAATCTACAAGATTCCCCACCAATTTAGTGTATCAGAAAGGCATACAGCCAGCAAGAATAAGGTACAGTTCCTCAGCAAGAGACGGGCATCGCCATTTTCTTGATTGCATGACGTAATATCCGGAGTAGTTTATCAACTAAATGTATTCAAGTAGATGGATGCTTTACTATGAATATGACAGACAAAGACAGCGGACAAAATATACAGTTCCTCAGGTAGACAAAGGAACATCCCTTCACTGCTATTATGTAAAAAGGTGAATATGCATGTGACACCTGTTCTACACATGTTTACATAATAGCAGTGAAGGGATGTTCCTTTGTCTACCTGAGGAACTGTAGATTTTGTCCGCTTTCTTTGTCAGTCATGTTCATAGTGCTTCCTTCTCACCACCTGACAGGTGTTTGTGGTGTTGATGCATTTCATTCACCTGCTATATTATTAGTCTTTGTACTCCAATTGCCAGAACGCAAATTGTGTAACTAAGTTGGTACTGTTCTTGGGCGAAGGTTTCGCATAAATGAAATAGATTTTTCAACCGCTTTATTCAAATAAATGAGTTACATTTGTTGCCATATTATAAATTTTTCACCAAATTTAATTTTTACCTTCTTGGCTATGATTTTCCCTCATTGAAAAATAAACGTTTTGTTTTTTAATTAAAAAGTCTTTCCAACTAAAGATTGGTGCATGATACATGTACAGCCCATCTGTGCATATTTTTCGCCTGGTACGTCCCATTTTCAAGGAAATGGCTACGCCCATGTCATGCTAAAAGGCATTACATCATGCCAAGAAATCTGCATTTATATATCTCTTGTAAAAGGCAGGAATTCATTTCGTTTTGGGGGGAACAATTGCAGGATATCCTGCATATTAATATACCCTATCACGAACCCGCTACCGGATTATGTGCGCATGCTCAGCTCCAATGTGCGGGGTATAAGCGAGTTCACGGTTGCAGTCTGAGCATGAGCAGATAAAGGTCATTGCAGAACAAATTTTGAAATACACGGAGGCGATATTCTGGATACGTGCTCATGAAAGTTATGTAACATTATGCATTCATGCACATTCAGTGCACTTTATGATACACAGGTGGAAGTATTCTTTGAAAAGAGGAAACAAATGCTATTTATATAGCCCCTCCATCGCTGTAGGAGTGATTATTTCAAAATGTACAAAGTGGGACCTTTTGATGTTTTGAAGATCTGTGGATATTCGGGGCCATTGCAGTAATGTGCTAACCGTGAACTGGTCTATTCTGCAGTTATGTAAATAGGGTAATTCTCAGACACATTTTGAAAAATCACTTTCACCTTTCCTCAGCCAATACATATAGTTAGTTGTATTGATACCGTTCAACGATCAAACATAAAAGCCCTTGATTCATCAATAGGCTTTGTGGCCGTGGAAACCCTAAGCTGTAAACAATGCCCGGACGGTACCAAATGAATGGATGAAGAGTTTTATTGACTGGTTTGGGGATAACTGGACGTGGTATACATATTAGCATACCACAATATCTATACTGTTTCAAGTGTTGATGAGCCATCTCTGTTGCTGTCTCCGTGGCATTATCGACTAGAATTAATTTCACAATTTAAGGTGAAAATGGGGACGGGATCTTCTAAATCATCCGGGTTCAGCAAGACAAAAGACTACAATATCCATGTCAAGACTGGCGACCGCAAAGGCGCTGGCACCGATGCCAACGTCTACATCGCCCTCCACAACGACCAGGGGAAGCGTTCACGCGACATCCAGCTCGATTGCAAGTTCAAGGACGACTTCGAGCGTGGCAAGGTCGACACGTACCCGGTCTCCAACCTTCCGAATTTCGGGCGGATCTCGATGATTGAACTATGGCGGGATGATGCTGGCCTGAATGATGACTGGTACGTTGATTCTGTGACCGTAGACCATGTTCGGTCGAAGGAGAGGTATATCTTTCCTCTACATCGATGGGTAAGGGATGTCATGAAGTTGTTCATCAATGAAAACGACATCAGTCTTCCACAGGACGATCTCAAACAGGAGCAGAGGCAGTTTGAGCTGCTCAAGAAAAGGAGCCTGTATGAGTTTGAATGTAAATCAGACGGCTTGATACCGCAGGTAACTATAATACTTCGTTATAGGCCTACCCTTTTTCTCATTCATATCAAATCTTCTCATGATATAGAACATGTATTATTAGTATCATTAATAGTTAACATAGCAATTTATAGCGTTTAAAAAGAAGGTTGAGTTCTTGGAAGAGGTGAACACTAATTTGTGAGCATTATCATTGTTATTATGCAAGTGTAGAAGAACATCAGATAAAACATGTTTCCTGAAAAGCATGGCTCTTTAAATGCCTTTATATTCTAAATATGGCATTATGTAACAGCATACAAATCGGGACGGACTTTTACGCCACATGTTTGTGTAATCCCATATCCATATGTTTGTGTACAGTGCTAGTACCTTTACCAAGACTGGGCCAAATTTCTTATCATTTTGATGATTACAGAACCTTGCAGTACACACCAATATTTATATGCTAGATGATCAACCTTTTCTGATCGATTCCACATCGTTTCATTTACAAGCAATCGCATGACAAGAACTCAACATTATCTTAAATATGGCACCTCTTCGGAACTTTTCAGGCAAAACGTACATTAACACCAGTGGCGGATCCATGGGGGGGGGGGGGGCCGCCCCCCCCGGCAAAAAAAAAAGAAGGGAAAAAGGGAAGGATAAAAAAGAGGGAAAGATTTTATATATATTATTTTTGGGGTGCTAAAGAAAGCACAAAAAATTAAAAGTGTTCCACCCCCCCCCCCCGGCCACTGAACGAAATATCTGACGACGTAAGAAGAAAGGTAGGGGAGATCAGTTGCGATATTTCCCACCAACAAGGTGTTATTGGGTGGGGGGGGGGGGGCAATTGACAATTGTCATGGATCATTGTCTTTACGCTTACCATTATATGCATCTGGTTCGAATTTTGTTAGGTGTTTGGTACTGGATGATTTAAATGGTAAAAATGAACTTGTGTCCTATTCATTCTAGTCTTATTCGTTTGCATTATGTTTTATTCATTCAATTACTAATGTTTCTGACTGTGTTCAAGACAATATCTTTGTTGTCGATCATAGTCTTATGTAGCTTGATATCTTATGGTAATTTTGAGAGAAAAGCAATCCAAACAACGATTTCTGAATTGTAGCGACAATCGCGTTCGCCTTTGCTGCTCTGCAATAATACTTGACAAGCAGTATTAATTAATTTTCAAGGACTCATGATAAATTCGTTTAACAGTTGCTTACCCTCGGTTGATTCTTTTGTTCGGATTATTTGGAGGGGAGAGATGGAAGTGAACGATCTCACGCTTAACGACGTTGTGTTATTATTCTTATTTGTTCATCGTCTCCTACATGTAATAATAATAATAATAATAATAATAATAGCCTAATAGTCCACTCCAAATTTTATTGAACCGAAACGGAATTTCTTTTTGCCCAATTCAGTTCAATTCAATTCAATTGTTGTTAAGAAAATTTTGGTTGCACTCTGTATATAGATTATGATGATGCGATTGATCTTGTTTTCAATAACAAAATCAAACTCGAGTTCTTTACAACAATAAACAAAAATGAGGTGCTATTCGATGTGGCGTACACATGGCAATCACATGGTAGATAAAATTATGATCATCAGTACTGGGTCTAATAAATAAAAGAGAACCAAATTTGAACCCGGGCCATAGGCTACCCCCTCTCGTTCTCTCTCTCTCTCCCTCTCTCCCTCTGTATGTCCTTACTTTTCCCTCTCTTACCTCCATGTGCATTTGTATGACTCGATAATACAGAAAATAAACAAATAAGATTCTTCCTCCTCCCAACCTTCTTCTATGTAGTAGGAGTAGTATTAGCAGCAGTAAGACAATAATAATGACAAGTATTATTATAACTATTATTATGGTTGGTGGTAGTTTTTTTTTTTTTTTTTCTTTCCAATGAAAATTTATTCAATATTCAATAAATGTATTCAATATATTTGATCTGTTGACCTTCAGACTGGTTTTAGCTGCACATAGAATTCTTGTAGAACCTTTTTACTTGCTGTACACTCGGCATTTGACAAGCCAAGGTACAATTTTATACGCAAATGGCGGTCTGTACTTTGGCTATACTGGAAGAAGAAAAATTATATACAAGGGTAGGTAAAACACGTTGATTTTACTTTAAACACGGGCCCCCTCCCCCTGGTGCTCAAACAGCTTAAAAGTTTTATCCTACGATAGTTATCTGGATCTGTATCCTACCCTCTTTTTTGAAAATAGGGACTATACTACCTAGACACCAGTCTCTTGGTACTAGACCACTCTCCAGTAATACATTAAAATAACCAGTAATACAACTAGTGACAGCTGCTGAACAATTTTTCAAAAACTTATTTCTTACCAAATCTACACCAATCTGTACAACTTCATCAACCGAGATAGGGGCATCCAGCTCATCATTGCACGAAGACTGGTCAAAATCCACATAATGTGTTTCAGATGCTACACATTAGACCTTATTCAAACTACAAAAATGGCGCCCAAAATGATCTAAAGATTCCCCATGGCAAAAGTAAAGTAACTCTCAGGCGGGGACCGTGCTTTTGTTATTTCTGCCCCAAACTATGGATTTTAGCTTGCCAATAGAAATACGAAGCACTCCATATCTTAATGTCTTCAAATCCATGATAAAAACATATTTGTTCAATTAAGAGATTCTATTTTGTAAAATTTAGTTTAAAAAAAAGGAGCTCTGAACCAGTGCAGCTGAATATATTTTAGTATAAAAGCTGCGCTATATAAATTTATTATCATTATCATTCATTATAAAGAGACATTGGCTGGACAAGAACAACGTATACGCTTCGGTCCATCAAAAGGTCGAATCTCAACTTTATTTTTCTTATTCTTCTTTTACATTTCGAAGCGTTGCATGGGGTCTCAATCCTGTTTGTTCTCCTACAAACATCACTAATGCCCCCATTTAAGCATATACTTTGAATCTCGTCATGCTTCGAAAAGTTCGTCGCCAAATTATTGTTTCTGTTGATGATGAAATAAAGAAAGCACCTTTATATAGATCAGAGCGTGTGTTAAAAAGAGGACACAATAGGAGCATTGCAATTTAAATATCAAGAGATGGATTAGAGTTTATTCCTAAATTAAATGAAAGGGCTATTTGACTTTTATGATTCCTTTCATTTCATTTCAGAAATTAGCTCTCTTTCTTTCTTAAAACGAATTCTCTCTTGAAAGTCAAATAAACTCGAAAGCTTCCTGGGGCTCCACCCCGGAACCCCCGACAGGGGCTCTGTCATGCCTCTCAAGCTCTAGCTGCCATATTGTACGGATCCATCAGAAAGCAAAATAAGCCTACTAAATAATTCATGTATATAAATATATATAGTTCTCCTATGTAAACTTTCCTCCATAAAATGCATAATAAATTCGTTTTCGAGGGTCGGCAATGAAAGTAGAATAAACAGTATAAATAGCCTTCGAATAAAGAAAAAACAGCTCGGTCGATTTGTTTTGAAGCATTATCCTCCAAGAACCAGACAGCTTAATTATTATTATCCAGATTAATAACGTATATCACACTCAGAGATGGAAGATCAATACGAAATGCATAATGCAACGTCTAGACATAAAGGTCGAATCTCAACTTTGTTTTTTTCTTATTCTTCTTTTACATTTCGGGATCTTAATCCTGTTTTTTCTACATACATCAATGCCCCCATTTAAGCATACTTTGATTCTGGTCACGCTTCGATCGTGGCCTAGAGTTTTGTTTCTGTAAATGATCAAATAAAGAAAGCACCCATATTATAGTTCAGGGAAAGCTATAGGATCATTCACCTATGTCAGACGAAAGTGATCGAACGCTACAGGGCGTTATTGCACATACTGGTCGTTGAACTCCGATTCTGACTTATCATTGGATAGTGACTGAATGATATTTTGCTTTCTTTTATTAATCTTATGAGTACCCCCCCCCCTTCATGGTTAAGAAATATCCTTGTGGTTAATGTTCTAAATATTTCTTACTTCAATTGCACCCTTGCATGTAAAATAACTTTTACACGTTTTATCGTTATCCCTTTTTACCTTACTTTATTTTTGCTTTGTTTTTGCCTGTATGCGTAGTTAAATGGTAGTTTGTGACTCCCCTTTCCCATATAGTAACCTATCCACCTTAGAATTTGACTTCTTTTTCCAAGATACGCAAAATGAGTTTGATTATAGTAACAAAAACAACATGTATGGTACGAATATGAACCCGACTGAAGAAGATAATTTATCAGATATTGACCCTGTTGTTAACTGTCCTGTCCTGTAATCCAAATGGATACTGGCTATCAGCTGAATTTAGTACTGAAATGAACTTTGATAGTGATTTACTCCATTTTAACGCAAGAAGCCTAAACAAAAATGTTGATAATATACATGATTTTATTACGAAACATATAAATACAAATTTTTCAATAATGGATTCAGTGAAACATGGATACACCCATTGACACCAAAAGAATTATTTCTTATTTCAAATAATTTTCAGTATGACTTCAGGGCAGGACATTCTTGTGGACATGCATCAATTGATTTAAATAACACTCTTTGAACTTATATTAATAATAATTATCACTCATTTGGTATATTTCTAGACTTGTCAAAAGCCTTCGACCTCATAGACCATAACATACCTTTATATAGATTATCTATTATGGTATAATAGGAGCAGTGTGAGACTGGTTTCAGAGCTACTTACTTGATCGACGTAACTTTACGTCATTTAATAATTGTAATTCCCAATACTCGACAGCCCAGTATGTGGTCACCCAAGGCTCCATAATGGGCCCGCTCCTCTTTCTAATTTATATTAATGATGTATGTACAGCATCTTCATTGTTTGATAAAGTCTTATTCTATGACGATACAACTATCAGTTCAACACTTAGTAGCTTCATTTTTTGTTAGAAAAAATACCCAATAATGAATTTTGTAAAATAGCCGATTGGTTTAATGCTAACAAACTGATTGTTAATTATGAAAAAAGTAATGTTATGTATTTTAAAAAACCTCATGTATCACAAAATTCTTTAGATTTTCATATGAGAATGAAAGATGTTACTTTAAATTTGGTTAACTCTATCAAATTACTAGGATTTATACTTGATGATAATCTATCATTTAAGGAACACCGTTTCTTTATAAATAAGATGTCAAAGAACATAGGTATATTATCTAAATAACGAAGTACCCTTACAGAAAAGCACCTGTTAATGCTTTATTATAATTCTTTATTACTTCCCTTTATCTAATATGATAACTTTACTTGGACAGTTAACTCAGTCAGTTAACTCTTATTGCATTTAAATCTGCTGGTCCTCGAATATGGAATTCCCTCCCTTCTGATGTAACTTCCAGCACTAATGTTACTTCATTCGAAACCAAACTCAAACGTTCAATAATAGTACCTTTGCCAAATAAACATGTAATTTCATCTCTCCTCCTAAGTTTTCTTATTTCACCTTTTCCTATTTCCTTTTACCTATATGTTTAGTGCTTAATGTTTCAACTAAGTTTGTTTTGTATCTCACGTTTATTCTATGTATATTTATTCATTTATTGGGTGCCCAATTAATCAAGCCTTGGCTTTTAGGGACACCCTGACCATTTACACTGTATAATGTTCATACATGCAAGATTTGTATATTGTTTTTTAAATGGTTTAATAAAACGAATTGAATTGAATTGAATTAAAAACAATTAATTTCGACGTCTTTACAAAGATTTCATAAAATAACGTCATACTTTGAGTATATTTAATTTTTGTTATAATTTTGTCATTCATGAGAATCCGTTTGTGTAATGTGAAACAAATAAATTTAAAACTAAACCTGAAACTTGTAACTTGATTGAACAACAAATTATTTCTGTTTCGTTTAGATCAAAACGTTTCCGATGGACGAATCATTCTCAAATGATTACCAGGTGTGTATTCAAATTTATTGCATTTTCTTTTTTTAATTTTATTTATGGAAACTGCCCCCTACCCTAGCCCCCGCTGCGTACAGTCATGGTTCAGTGACAAAGCAATGGCCTCGTAACTGTGAGGCCCCAGGATCAAAACCGTGTCGATATGCTATATCAGTGCCCTTTTGTGGGGCATTAATCCTCATTACTGTCTTTTATGACTTAAGGGCGTAGGTCCCCTATTTGATAAGTATAGAAGCATACACATGCTTTAGCAGTCACGCAAAACACACATGTGCAAATTATTATTCAATAAAATCTGAGAATGTATACTTTTATCTAGATCTATTATTTTTAAATTATTTTTAAAATAATTCCATAAATTGGGGTAAAACAAAAATATTCCACCTATATGAGCGAGCGACAGTGTATAATAAAGTTTTTTCCATGAAAATTATATTTCTCAACCGGGATATCGCAAAATGAGTTCATTAATCCGATTTATTTTTTGGAAGTCATCTCTACATTATTTCTAAAGTAGTTAATATGCAAGAATATAATACAGTCAAACCTGTCTATAGTGACCACCCAAGGGAAACACAAAAAGTGGCCTTTGTAGACAGGTGGTCTTTGTAGGCAGGTTCCTTTAGTACATGATTCAATGAGAAACCATTTTCAAGGGAAACAACAAATGTGGCCTTTATGGACAGGTGGTCTTTGTAGACAGGTGGTCACTAAAGCAGGTTTGACTGTATTATCAAAATTCGGTTTCATACAGTAAACTAGCCCATGATAATAAGCAAAAAATCATCAGATTTTGTATGAAAGGAGATATTGTGAAATCTTCATTGTGTGGGGATTATTTTTCCAAAGTGTATGCGCCACCGCACTGTTTGAATTGTAGTACTGGACTTAACCATTCCTCATAACTAGATCTTTTATTGTCGTACTGTTTTGCTTAGTCGTATTTTTGTGCATTTTAGGATGAGTAGTTATAGCAGTGAGTATGGGTATTGCTAAAGGGTTTGTACACGAATTTTTTCGTACTTATACTATTTCTAATTGACTCATGTACAACAGTTCTGACATAGTCTATTTTTGTGAAAAACGGACTTATAACACGAGTGTCTATCGGGTTTTGATGGGGTCTTGACTTTTTGAATTTAGATAGAGATTTTTCATTTTGGAGTTGGTCATTTTTTCGATAAAATTGAATTTTACTTAAGTTTTTTTTTTATTATGGACTTGTTTTTTTTCGTTAAAAATTCGTGTAAGACAAACCCTATGGCAAAACGCATACTCACTGCTAAAATTACTAGGGTGGCGGTTGAAAAATATTGATTGCTTATTCAAAAATGTATTATTTATATGGAATTCTAGAAGTGCGATTGCACTGCGCATATTCTAATAAATTTCTTTCTCCATCTTCTCTTCTTTCTCAGTGGGACATCGTAACACTTAAAGCTAAACTGATGCTTCAAACAGCAACCATCAAAATGACCAGCAAATCCTGGGAAAAGCTGGATGACATTGGGGAGCTGTACACCGGGATTCTGCCAATACCTTATGTAAGTACCCCTCCCTTTTGTACGTTTTGCTTAAAGGGCAAGTCCACTCCAAAAATAACTTACTTTCAATAGAAGCAGAAAAATCAATCGAAAAAGTTTGAGCAAAATCGGATAACTAATAAGAAAGTTATGAATTTTTAATGCATGAAAATCTTTGAAAATCATAAGACAAATTGGCAACTCACTCTTGAGTCTATGACGTCAATGCCTCGCTATCCACTAATTGTTTTCTTTATATTGATAATATAAATTTCCAATTTTCGCCATAAAAATATTATTTCCTCACACAAGCATCCAATTCTCATAAATTCTTATAATAAAGAGTAATATTTTTCAGTTAAATCATGAAAAATGCTAATTTTGATAAACTATTTATATAAAAATCAATGATTATGAATATACAATATGCAGAAAAAAGTATAAATTCTTCAAAGTTCATATATGATTTTATGAAACGTCATGCACGCAATATGATACAAATCATATAACCTGGGCAAAGGCGTAGGGACATCAAGTTTTGGGGGATAAAAAGGGAAATTAATGGGATAAAAATATGTAAAGCAATTGATAAGGCAATGACGTCGCAATCTGATAACCAACTTGGCAATTTGTGTAGTGATTTTCTAAGTTCCATACTTTTTCATACTTTTTCATACTTTTTCACAAATTAATAACTTGTTGCTCTGTTTCCCCCTATTTTTCAGCATCTATTTAAAGCAAATTATTTTTGGAGTAGACTTAGCTTTTAATAATCCATGTTGAAATTATTTCACTTTTATTTTGAAACTGCCCTTTTACGCATCAATAACTTCCGAAATCTCTCTCCTAAACAATGAAGTGCATTTGAATTGTTTTTTTTTAATCAATTTTGTTTAGTTTCGCAGATGGCAAACAATGTAGCTCTAATAATATCATTTTATAAGCAAAACATTTGACACACGTACGGGTGCTGTAACCATGTTTGCTTTAACCATTATGTCATATTTGTTTGAAACTAGTTGAGTTGCTTTTATTTGTGTTTGATCAAATACAGAAAGTATTTCTTTGAAGGAAAAAATACTGCACCACCCTTTAAAAATGTTTATGTTATGTTTATAGATATATCCGGACCATCTCTCTAAAATTGGTTAACTTCCATAGCGTAATTAAATTTCCCACCCTCCCTTAAAAGTCATTCCACCCCATTTGTGTTTTTTTTTTCAATGGCTTCAGGAACTCCATCGTTTAAAGCTTATCTGCCGTAATTTACGGGAGGGATTAGACAGCCCTGCAAGGTCACTGGACAGGTGGTTATCTCATCAACTCAGCTCTCAGTTAACATCAGAAAAAGAGGATCATGGGGGACCAATGGTCACTGATTGATCATTGTTTGTTATATAGAGGGCGCAAGTAGCTACAAGTAGTGCAGTGGGCCTTTAAAAGTGTGATTTATTTTCGCTGTATTTAACCCACATCTCCCTGTCTATATATTGAATACCCTCTGATTGTCCCTTTCCTTCTTCATTGAACTATACAGGGCATGAACAATTGGCAATCGGATAAAGAGTTCGGTTACCAGCGGCTGACCGGATGTAATGCGACAAATATCCGACTATGCACTGAAATTCCCGCAAAGTAAGTGAACTTTTTTCCCGGTTGATCGACCGATAATGCTACGTTTACACTATGTTCCCGGCGGCCACGGCAGCCCCGTTAGCCCGAAACGTAGTGCGCCGTGGGATTAAGACCAATTTTATCTCTGGATTCAAGTTTTGTTACGTCTTGCCAAGTTTTCTCACGGTCCGCCACGGTATCCGTGACAGGCCGTGGGGGGAAGGGGATGCTGAGTCCCGGAGGCTCCAAGGCGCACTACGGTTTGGCCCGCGTTCTACCACGGATGCCAGAACGTTCCCTCCCGGCCCGTCAAGTTCTGATGGGGTCCCTCACGTTTCCCACGTTCTAATCAAGGTCTGGCACGTTTTTCACGTTCTGTCAAGGCTTTGTACGGATGAAACGTGGACGCAGGGCAGCTTTGGAGCACGTTTGTGCCGGCGGTATAAAAAGAAGGTCTCCCGAGCAATAGCAATCATGGTATCCTGAGACCTCGCGTTGTGTCAGACCGTAGTAGAACGCAACGCGCCGTAGCGTGCCGGGCGCTTAAACCGTTCCACTACGGACCACCCCCAAGTTTTGTTACGGCCTATCACGGACTGTCACGTTTTGTTACGTTCACCCCGGTTTATTACGGCCTACTAGGTTTCTCATCCGCACCGTGACTGCCGTGGCAATTTTTTTGACAGTTTAAAAATCTGACACAGTATCCACGGCAATCACGGCCTGTCAAGTTTGCCCATACGGTCCCCCGCGTTGTGTCACGTCAATCCCGTTTCGTCCACGGTGGCCTGAAACGTGGTTGCCGTGGCCGCCGGGAACATAATGTAAACGTAGCATAATACCATGGGAAAATGTAAGAATCTCTGAATCAGAGTTATTGGTAACTACAGTTCAATTTTTTTTAAAAGATGCCGATAAAAATAGAGATAGGATCAATTTTACTCTAATTTATTTCATCATATCTCAAAAGGATGAGTGATTCAACATTAGGTGGTTGCGAAAAAGAACAAATTTTCTTGCCAATTTTTTATGATTAGTATTTTCAGTCTTTCGAAAAAAATCTTTGTAAAAAAGATATGTCTAATAACACCTTTATCATAAGTATGGAATATCATGGTCTCTTTTTTTCCTTCCTTGTTCTGTGCCTAGATTTCCGGTGACAGACGCAATGTTAGAACCCCTATTAGAAGGCATGACTATAGCTGATGCATTATCAAAGAAACGACTGTTTATCTTAGACTACGAGATTCTCCACGATCTTCCTTGCACCAAAGGCAGAAAGGTATATTGCAATTTGAAACCCGCCAAATCGGAACCCGGGATGTATATTTGTATACCTCGATACATTCAGAAAGTGTATGATTTAACTGTTGCAGGATTTCAAAACTGCCTCTTATTTCGTAGAAAATGAATAGATATATCTCATCCAATTAATTCGTGTCATGTATTCAAATAATTAAACAAGTGAGAGAGGGGGAGAGAGGGGAGAGAGATAGAGTGTGTGAGGAGAAATGTGAGAGGAATAGAGAGAAGAGGGGGAGAGAGAGGGAGAGAGGGGAGGATGAGAAGAAAGGGCAAGAAGAGGAAAGGGTGCGTGAATGAGAAAGAGAGAGAGAGAGAGAGAAAGAGAGAGAGAGAGAGAGAGAGAGAAAGAGAGAGAGAGAGAGAGAGAGAAAGAGAGAGAGAGAGAAAGAGAAAGAGAGAGAGAGAAAGAGAGATATGAAAAGATTGAGATTATACAGAACAGAATTGCAAGATAATATTGTATGCTCACCCTGCCAAGCCATGTAATCATGTATCGTTTTTTATTTCTCCCTTTTCATTTTCCAACACCTTGTAGATCTGCGCGCCCATGTGCTTATTTGTCGTCAACAAGAATAGGAACCTGATGCCCCTTGCAATTCAACTCTTTCAAGATCCTTCAGAAAATAACCGGTGAGTTTATAAAAAGAAATGACACAGTGACAAGAGGGAGGGGGGGGGGGGCAGAGAATCGTTCATTTAAAAACTTGTTAATTCAACAGGCTGTCCTGTGAAGCGACACTTCCTACTAATGTGTATCCACCCCCCCCCCCCCCCCGCCCAGCCCACTCTGAAAACATACATGAGCCGCCTGCTGTATGCGTTTTAAATATGAATATGGAGCCATATAAATGCTATCGTTATCATCATCATAAAACTCCCATCCATCTCAGCCTGGGGCGGTATTCTGAATGTGAACTTATTGGGGGGGGGGGGGGGGGGGGGGGGGCTTGTCTGTGAATTCTATCCAATGAAGGATTTGGGTGTTTCATTGTTGGTCAAAGAGTTTTTGAGCGTCAAGTAACGACTGGCTGGAATGCTCTCCAGGGAGTACAGATTGTGCACAGAGCGGACAAGCACTGAATCCATTGACCGGGGTAATAGTATATATCTAAAGCGCTTACATAAACCATAACACACCGCATTACAAACGTCAAGCCATCATTATACTGCATGACTATATTTCTCGCATATCACGAGACCATTCGAGATCGGGAATTTGGCCGCGAGACGACTTCGACGAAATCAGCGATATTGCTCATTTGCATACAGACTTGCCGACTGACTGCTTAGAGATATCCGAGATGTATTAAGCGCTATATATAAGCTGAATATTATTATTATTGTTTTCCTCTTTCAGATCTTTTTACCGACCGATCCTGAATATGTCTGGCTGATGGCCAAGATGTGGTTCAATAACGCGGATGCATCTTTCCACCAGTCTTCCACCCATCTAGGATACACCCATCTCATCATTGAATCGGTTGCCGTAGCAACGCATCGTTGTCTCTCCCAGTCTCATCCGATATTCCGTCTCCTCGCTCCGCATTTTATCTTCCTTATAGCGATCAACACGTGAGTTGACTCTTAGAGAAATCGGGATACAATCGGCATAAGTCGGCATAACTCGTAACAATTCGTACTGAATCGTTTACATTTTGAGCACGTTCGAAGTAGGCCTACTTCTAGTGTCAGTACGAGTAAAATGAAACATGTTCACAACCTATCCGTGGTTGAGTCACCGGGTTTCTACTAGTTCTCTATGCTAAATAGTACAGTTCGCAGCCTAGCAAGACATCCTTTTAATAGTCGGATTATTTTATCAGGGGGAATAAGGAAGATAATAATTAGATAAAATAAGAGTGTTACGGAGACGAATGACGTCAAAGTATAAATAGTATTCTTAACTGTTAAATGAGTGTAAGGAAAATGTACGCCTATACTTGGCGTACCTAATTGATAATCGACAATTACAATTTTGCGTTGGCAAATTTGTAAATTGGTGTTGTTTTATGCCATAAACTCATTCTTTAGATGGTAGGTGTGGAGGTTTGTCCGTTTTTTTAGGATAAATGTATATATTTTTAACGTTGGTAAATTTGAGATCTTAGGACTATTTGTTGTTGTCGACACAACTTGCGTTATTGACGCCACAATTTTTAAGGCATTTTTTCGTGACACCCCCTCCCCCTTGCAAAATTCAATTTCCGCCCCTGGCCGGCATTAATAATTCGTGAATGCTCTGTTTTTATATTCACCCGCAGGCGAGCTCTTGCCAAATTAGTTTCCGAAGGAGGATGGGTTGATCAATGCATGGCCATCGGTCGGATCGGTATGTTTGAAATCATCCGCCGATCCTGGGATCGCTGGTCCCTGGAGAAGCAAGGATCCCTCGAGAAAGACCTTGCCGACAGGGGAGTCGACGACCCGGAAGTACTTCCCAACTATCACTACCGGGACGATGCTCGGCTCGTGCGGAGGGCAATATACGATTACGTGAAAACTATAGTCGATCACCACTATGGTGAGAAATGTATTTATTATAGTGTAGATATTAAATTGTCAATGCTGTCCAGGCTCATATATAAATACATGTCATTGGTTTGTAGTTCTACGATGGCTTACTTCTTCTATGAAAGGTCAACCAAATCTGTTATTCTTTTCACATCCGGACATCAAACTTTTGATGATTAAAATATGAATTAAACGTTACCAGGTATCAAATTCTAAACATAACTGGTGACAGAAATGCACTGATAGTTAGTTGTATTACATTATTAGCTGAGGCAAAGGTACGCAAGGATCTGATTAGTACCAGCCCCCAAATTTGCTATCAGATATCGAAGCATTAGAAACTTATAAGTATTGAATATTTACAACTAGACGTTTGAAGAGATCTTTATTATTTACCTCTTTCCAAAATAAAATAAAATGAAATTATAAAGTTGAACAAAAAGTCCGTGCGCATAAAGATAGGTTCATGTTGTTTTTCGATAGATGGAGACCCGTCCAACTTACTTACATACCAGAATCTTGTTTCTCATTGTACCTTTCTTTGTCAAACGTATGTATCCATCATTTTGTACATATGCTTAAATTTAAGATTTGAAGAAAAAAAATTGAAAAAACATTAGCCTCGATTTAACTCCACCACGGGCTCATTTTTCATCAATAACGGATTACTCCCAAATGCTTACGAAAGTAATTTATACTCATGATATTTTTGTATCTCTTTGCCTGTTTGGATAGATACGGATGAGCGAGTGACGTCAGACTTTGAGATTCGGCATTGGGGCAAGACACTAAGTACGGAATGCGGTATGAAGGTATAAATGAAATGCGTTTTCAGTCTTCTGTGCAATAATTTAATATCCGAAATTACGTTACTCATTGAGACGGAGTTATGGTTGAGATTGAAGGAACAACTAAATCCTGTTTGGCACGTACTCCAATGTAAATCTTCGTGAAGGAAATGGAGCAATAAGTAATAAATGTTGTATGCCAAAATCATATTGTTATTGTTTCGTTCCAGGGCGTTCCGAACGGCGGTGAGTTCTCGACGGCAGACGAGGTTACGGAGATCATTACGAACTTCATCTTCATCGGCAGCGTCGGGCATGCGGCATCCAATTTCTCGCAGTACGACGAGTATGGTTTCCCGCCAAATTACCCCTCATTCCTTTTCGGCGAACCCCCTAGAGATAAGGTATATCACTCCCCAAACTGAAAAAAGATATATAACATTGCACAGCTCAGCACGGCATGATAATTAACTTTATCATCCGCCCTTCACTTTTTTTAAAAATGTACATCATAATCATATTGGAGTAACTTTATTAAAATTAACCTTTGACTGCATCTTCCTCACAAACTTGTTTATTGTCTTTCTCGAACGCTTTTGCAATTTTTCTCCCCTCCCCTTTCTTCCCTGTATTTTTCTTCTATCTCGGTCCGCCCCTTCTTCCTTCGAGTGTCTTTAAAAAAATATATAATTCATACACGTTTCCACATCTCTCTTTCTCCTCATATCTTGCTTCCTCTGCCTCCTCCCTTCGCCCCCCCCCCTCTCTCCTCTCTCTCTCTCTCTCTCTCTCTCTCTCTCTCTCTCTATATATATATATCTCTCTCTATCTATATATACATCTCTCCCTCTCCCTCTCTTCCTCTCTCCCTCTCTTCCTCTCTCCCTTTCACTTTCTCCCTCCCGCTCTTTCTCTCCCTCTCTCTCTCTCTCTCTCTCTCTCTCCCTCTCACACTCTCTTTCTATGTAGACAAAAAGAAAACATATCTTATCCTCCATATCCAGTCCTTAACTCTCTCTCTCTCTCTCTCTCTCTTTCTTTCTCTATCTCTCGCCCTCTCTCTCCCTCTCACACACTCTCTTTCTATGAAACAACAAACTATCTTAATACCCTCCATATTCCAGTCCCTAACTCTCTCTCTCTCTCTTTCTCTCTCTATTTTGTTAACCTATTGATGTTTTTCTATCGCTATCCATGTATGTATACCCGATCAGTGTTTGATATCCATTTATCCCTGTTCTCTCCATCTCTTCCATCAGACTGAGCGGACAGAGGAGGATATCCTGGCCCAGATGCCCTCTAAGGATATGACCTTGAGCATCATGTTGGTCACCAAGCTACTCAGTGATCGGGGCACCAATGGACTAGGGGACTTCGAAGTGCAGTACCTGCATGATCCTGTGAGCCTAAACGCATTGAAACAGTAAGAACACCCTCTCATTTTTAACACCTGTAACCATCTTTGAGAGATTGCCGACTTAGAATCGGTATGGGACACACTCAAGTTGAGAGTCGACTTGGACATAATGTATACTCAATTTAATCAGTTAATTAATTAATTCTCTCATTTCGATTGGCTTAATGCCACCCGGTTCAAATAGTCAATCGGTTGAGTGCCGTACCGCGCTTGAAACACTCGAGTTGGTGACATGCAATTAAGTGCCGAATTGAAACACATACCCGAGTTGAATGCCGAGTTGGAAACACACACTCGAGTTTAGTGCCGAATTCACACTTGGGTTGAGTACATGCCGAGTTGGACACACTCGGGCTCACTGTCAAGATGGATTCACACTTGAGTTGAGTGCCGATTACGACACTTAGGCACACTCAAGATGAGTGCTGACATGAGCACACACTCGAGTGGATCGCGAGTGCCAAATTGGACACACTCAAGTTGAGTGCCGACCTATACACACACTCGTGCTCAGTTTCAAGTTGGAAATACATTCAGATGTGTTGCCGAGTTGGACACACACACGAGCTCAGTGCAAAGTTTGACATACATTAGAGATGAGTGCCGAGTTTGACCAACACTCGAGCTGAGTGCCGAGTACGATACTTAGGCACACTCAAGATGAGTGCTGACATGAGCACACACTCGAGTGGAGTACCAAATTGGACACACTCAAGTTGAGTGCAGAGTTGTACACACACTCGAGCTCAGTTTCAAGTTGGAAATACATTCAGATGTGTTGCCGAGTTGCATGGACACACACTCGAGTGCTCAGTGCAAAGTTTGACATACATTAGATGAGTGCCGAGTTTGACCAACACTCAAGTTGAGTGCTGAATAAGACATGCACTCTGGCCAACACCCTAGTTAGACACACACTCGAGTTCCAGTTGAGTACTTCGTCGAACCATTAGCTAGCTCGGCAAAAAAATGGGGGGTGGGGGGGGGGGGGATTGCACTATTTTGGCACCTGTAATTCATGATACATTTTCCAGGCGCTATCTCGTCAAAATACTCATGAGTCTGTTCAATCGTTGTGTTCGTCTAACAATATTTGTTTAACAGAATGATGTACGATCTAATAATATCAACAAGCAGTAGAGTATTGAGCAAAATCCCCCTTTTTTTTTTGGCGGGGGGGGGGGGGCAGAATGAAGAAAAAAGTATAATTCACAAGAAAATAAAAAATAAACTTGAAACCTAATGTTCGCTTCGAGAACATCAAAAATTTCTAATAATTATGAATTCTTTTCTCTCTTTCAGGTTCAAAGCAGATTGCCTGAAAGTTGGCGCCATCATTGATGAAATGAACAAGACAAGGGAGCAGAAATACACATACCTTAACCCAAAGGAGATTCCTAATGCGATCAGTATTTAGAACTTAAAGTATGGGAGATCTGCACTTTTCCACAGATAGTTCGGATAACGCTTTGAATTTATAATATGTTATGAAAATATCGAGTTTGTTATTATTATATTTATATATATTATGTAAATAACATTGTCACATGAAGATATATTGTTTGTATATTTTTAATTATACCTTATGTTTATTTATTCTCTCTTATTCATTTATTGTATTTGTAAACATGCAGAAATCACATCACATCAAATCAAAATTGTGATGCATTCAGGGAATATATCCTACCAGGACTGGTACCAACTTACAACACCTAGTTTAAATGTAGATTAACGTCTTGCAACATAAGTGCTACGCACAGCAAGGATTTGAACCCTACACCTCATGGTTTACTGTCCAGTGAATTGTCCGCTGGACCACAAACACCTCTACAATAAACCATGGTTAATTCCATTGATTTAGAATGTATGTTACTCATGATTGATTTTGATAAATAGAGCTGTATTTGTGTTTGGATAATTAAATAAACAAAGAAGGAACTATATCGCTTTGTTGATTGTTTAGACACATGTTTGTTAACCCTAATAAGGCCGGGGGCCATTATGCCCCCCCCCCTCCACGATTTTTCTGATTGCTCGAGAACGCATATGGATGGCGCCCCGCCACTCGCTGACTTTTTTCTTTCGAGTCTTGCGCAACTTTTAAAAGATTTTTTTTGAAAATCGGACCTACGGATACAAGGTCACGTGACCTTTTGTCTTTGCGTGTCACCCCGAAAATCACTCATTTTCATGATTTGTGTACAAAACATATGGAAAAGTAATTTTTCCTAAAAACAGATCAAACATGGGTTATTGGGTCTTTTTTAAAGTTTAGGTGGTTGTTTTGGTTGTCAAAATAGTTGAAATGTAGTAAGAAATGAAATAAAACAACAAAAACAATGAAATACATAAGTTAAAAAAACAATGAAATACATAAGAAATTATCAAAACAAGTGATAACATAAGGAATAAGCTGGCTCTTCCAAATTTTTTGTTGTATTATTATTCAGAATGGTCTAATGAATATATGTAGTGAAAAAGAATGCCTAATTATGAATAATATATGATTTATGGGTAAAAATGTGAGTTTTATGACTTTATTTGCATAAATTACCATAAATATGCAAATGAGTAAATTTTTCAAAAAATTGAAATTATCATATTATTCTATACACTTCACTTGACATGCGTGCAAATTTTCGCGGCGATCGGCCGCTTCGCGGCCGAGATCTTAAGGGAGGCCATAATGCCCCCCCCGGCCGCGAATTTTTTTTCCGTACTCGAGAGAGCAAAAATCCCATGTGCGCATGCGCGTGGACTTATGATTTCTCTGCTACTTCCCATACGAAATGTACATGTATTCGCATGTACTGTGCACGATTCGCGTTCTACGAGTAAACGATGGCATAGTAGTCTTCAAACACAGACTCTGATTTGCCAGTTTGACAAATCAATATGCGTATGTGTCGCGATGTGCTTATTCAAGTCTGTGTAGTTGTATGATTCAGACCCAGTAGTGCATATGGAAATACATTGCAACTTGTATAGAATGGTATAGTAGTCTGCAAGCACAGACGCTAATCTGACAGTTTGACAACATACTAGTAGTGTGCTGAGAAGTACTTTATTCAAGTCGCCAACTTGTATAGAATGGTATAGTAGTTTGTTCAGAGCCAGAAGGGCATTCGTTGTGTTAAGAGTTAACATCCTTCTGGCTCTCAGCAGACCATGATTATAAATAAAAGTAATACAGAGAGTGCGAGCATACTGGAGGGAGAGCTAGAGAGAGAGAAAGAGAGAGAGAGAGAGAGAGAGAGTGAGAGAGCAGTGGCACAACACAGAAAACTACGAAAACTTGAATAAAAGCACTACTCAATACACAATAGGCCTATATTATTCTGTCAAACTGTCAAAGGAGAGTCTGTGCTTGCATACTACTATGCCACTCTATAAGTTGAGGTGCATTTCCAATACACGCACCAGTAGGGTCTGAATCATAAAACTACTCAGACTTGAATAACACTATTTTGTCAAACTGTCCGATTAGCGTCTGTGCTTGCAGACTACTATACCATGCTATTCAATTTGGGATGCATTTCTGTAAGCACTAAAATGTCTGAATCATACAACTACTCAGACTTGAATACTAGTACTATTGCTACGCACGATATATGCGTAATTGTTTTGTCAAACTGGCAAATCAGAGTCTGTGTTTGAAGACTATTATGCCATCGTTTACTCGTAGAACGCGAATCGTGCACAGTAGATGCGAATACATGTACATTTCGTATGGGAAGTAGCAGAGAAATCACAAGTCCACGCGCATGCGCACATGGGATATTTGCCCTCTCGAGTACGGAAAAAAAATTCGCCCCCCGGCCATACTAAGACCTCAAATAGCCCGGCCTTAATGGCCCGAATTCACATATGCAGAGGCGTCGCTAGAGGGGGTGTTACATTACGTTTCATTTTGCATTGTTTACTTTTATTTAGTCTATTTGATTTGTTTAAAGGAGAATAGGTATGGTTTGTCAGTTTTCACACTGTTAGAAATGAGCAAGAAGGTGGTACCCGAGACCAGCTATTAAACAACAGTTTCCTCAGCGATTAGTTCATGTGCTGGGGCGTTGACAAGGGTATCACCATGTAATCGTACTATATTTCATATAGAAAGAGTAATTTTCAGAAATCAATCCTACAATCCAAAAGAAATATATCGTTTTATGTTCTATGTGCATCGTAAAGTTATTGTACCTTGTAACAACTTACAAGGCTAATGGAAACAGAATTTCTGTGTATTACCATGGACCAATAAAGATGAAATTACACATATAATAATTTGCTAAAATATAATAACTCCTGTTACATGTATTGCCATATGTGGCAAGCTCTGAAGCCCCTCCCCACCCTCTCCCACAAACAAAATAAGGTTTGATAAGACTTGACACTATGAACATGACGGACAAAGAAAGAGGACGAAATATACAGTTCCTCATTCTAATCTCAACAATTGCTGTAGTAGACAAAGGAACATCCCTTCACTGTTATTATGTAAAAATGTGTAGAAGAGGTGAATATGCATGTGACACCTGTTCTACACATTTTTACATAAGAACAGTGAAGGGATGTTACTTTGTCTACCATAGCAATTTGTTGAGGGTAGAATGAGGAACTGTATATTTTGTCCTCTTTCTTTGTCCGTCATGTTCATAGTGTGATTATTACAATGACTTCAAATCAATCATAATGTGTGCAACAGGACAAAACAAACTATGCAAGAATATTAGCTTTCAGAGTTTTCATATCAGTTTTAATTACATCTTCACATATTATTTGTCATACTAAATGCTATTTTACAAATTTACATATGGGACTTTCTTTGTTGATGACTCCCAAGATTTCATAGTTTATGTTCTTGTCATATACAAAAAATAGATTTTGAAACCTTCCCGACCTGAACCCAACCCCTAACAAACAGCAATATATTTATTCATTCATTGCGGTATTAAAAAACTTTGTACATGGCAGCCTAGCGGCTGAATTGAGTGCAATTTTCATAAGTAATAACACAAGGATACTGCACAAAATACAATAGTATTAAAAAGTCATTAAAAGTAGTACATTCATTACAAAACAGTAGGTACACCTTAGATCAAAGAATATTGATGGTGGGATAATGGAAGTGGGTAATGGATGTGGAAAAAATAAAGGTTTTGTGATATGACTTAAGCAAATTCAAAGGAAGAATATATTATTGAATAAATTATGATCAGTGCTAAAATAAATTATCTGTTCTGTATGCTTCAAAGTAGGCCTATTGTCATATGGGTGCAAGAATGAAAATTGGGAAAGTAAAGATACAGAGGAGGGTGAGAAAGTGAGGAGAAAATACTAGGTAAGAGAAAGTGAGAAAAGGAAGACAAAGGACCTGTTTCATGTAGCCCTTTTTCAATGACAAATGACAAAAATCAGTGACATATCGGCTGATAACCAAGGATTTCACTAGCTTGTAACAAAAACTGTCATTTGTCAGTGATGACAAGTTTTGTGAAACACCCCCCTGGGACCCATTTCACAAAGCCCTTTTTCAATGACAAAAATCAGTGACAAATCAGCTGATAACCAATCAGAAGCAAGGATTTCAGTAGCTTATAACAAAAACTGTCATTTGTCAGTGATGACAAGTTTTGTGAAACACCCCCCTGGGACCCGTTTCACAAAACCCTTTTTCAATGACAAAAATCAGTGACAAATCAGCTGATAACCAATCAGAAGCAAGGATTTCAGTAGCTTATAACAAAAACTGTCATTTGTCAGTGATGACAAGTTTTGTGAAATGGGGTCAGGCATGGTGAGAAATGAGGAGAGCAAAGGCCTACACCACATACAAATCCCTCTTGAATGTTTTGTCGTTTTCATCCACTCTAATACACACAGCATTTGAATGTGAAATTAAAACTGAAATATTAAAAAGTTATAAACAAAATATATGTTTAAAAACTGGTGCAGTACCGGCACTTCCAGTTACTCTTCTTTTACACAGGGATGCCAGTTAGGATCGATCAGAGGGCCTAACAATCACAGAGAATGAGCTATTCTGTCCCTATTTTCACGAAGTGACACAAATTGTATGCGATTCTCCTCACTACCGTCACTTCGTGAAAATAGGGACGATTTTGTACACAAAAAAAGCCTAAACTATATGGTCTGAAAATAAATCGCCAGAGCTTGAATTCAGTCTTTTGCCTAGAACCTGGCATCCCTGTTTTACAATAAGTTCCTCAAGTGTGCTACACTACGAGAGATCAAGTGAAAAGAGGAGTGATTAAGAAGAGTCACTTGACTTTCTTAAAGACATACCAGTAGGTGTCTCTGGATTTAAATAGCCTTTTCACACACAGCTAAAATTCTATAAACATGATTAGTTTAAAGGGCTTTAAACTAATCAGCTGTACATACAAAATCATTCACACACAGAAATTTCGGTGCGATCATTGATCGTTTCGTGATTAACTACTGCTCCTAAAATGCGCAGTAGTGCCATTGCGCATTAAAGGTCATGTCATATCAGACAAAGCACACGCTCTATCCAGTTTAAATACGTTTAACCGTTCACACACAAAATGTCAAGCTCTCTAGATACAAACTTTGTCCTGCAGCCTGCTTTAAAGGGCGTATGAATCGCGAATTCATATCTATCCAAACATTGTATAAACGTTGAGTTAAACACGTTTAAACTGATCATCTCTAGATACAATGAATTTTAGCTGTGTGTGAAAAGGCTGAAAGACGCATAGTTGTGGGCCCTGATAGGGAATTGGACATCCTTCATTCAATGACAGGAGTTGCCAATCACCAGAATTAGCCTTCAGTTTTATGACCAACAGGCACTTAATGTAATGCTCTGCAATTCCACCCATCCCCCCCCCCCCCGACCCCCATATGGTAAAGTCGTTATTCTACATTTCCCTCGCCTGAAACTCTCTAAAAGAGACTAGGGGGATTTGTGTCGGCGAATTATGACCTTCTGCACATGAAAACTGACTACCATCTTCCTTTAATAAGCAGATGGCATGAGGTCCCATGTTTAATCAAAAACAATTAATTTAATTTAACTTTCTAAACCTGAGGAAATGTCTTCCCTGATACGCCAGCAAAGAGAATTTTTTAATTTTTTTTAATTTTAATGTAAATGTTCTCTTTTCCAGTAAATTTAAACCACATATTTTGTATTAAAGTTGAGTAATAATGACAAGTTGCTTTCCTAGTTTTAAAGTTACAATACTGTTTGTTTGTTTGTTGTTTTTTTTTTTTTTTTTTTTTTTTTGGGGGGGGTCGGCAGTTTGAAGAATGCTTCAAGATTGCTCAGTCCCATCTGTTCATTTTCATGAAAGTTCATGACCAATAGAAGCCATATCCCTAAGGCGAGCAACACACTACCCTGCTCTGTTTCTTTGCCCGGATACTCTCCCTGCATGGACTCCAAGACACGTTCTGTGTCCTTTAAGGACTGCTTGTGGATAACTTCAATTCCACCTACCGGTATTCATTTTTAAGAGAGTCCATGATGAATATCTGCCATATCCCGAAGGCAAACCACACTCTTATTCACAGACAAACTACCATGTGCAGTTTCTAAGATTGTTGTAGAGAGGCCCAGACACTGAGGCCCTAATGCACCTCATATCTGTTATTTAGAGGTTTTAGATGTGGTTCTTTATAGTCCAATAACGGATGGCAGATTACCTCAGTCCCACCTGTACATTTTCATGCAAGTTCTTGACCGACAATGGCCAGACCCCCAAGGCAGGTAACACACTACCCTGCTCAGTTTCTGCGCAATCTCTGCCTGGAGATTCTCCATGCGTTGGGCTCCTCGTACTTGTTGTAGAGGGGCTCAAGACGCTGCTGCTTCTTGGCCTTGCTCAGACGGGTCGGGTCGGAGAAGCGGAAGAAGGAAGCGGCGAGTTCCACAAACCACTTCGGATCGACCGTGGTGCATTCCCTCATGTATTCCTTGGTTGTCAGCACAAGCTCATGATATATCACCCTGAATTAAACAAAAACAGAAAAATTATTTGAGTGTTTATTGTCTGGAAGTATTCTTGGAGGAACATGCAATTTCAAGAAAATATTTCTATACAGTGCATCCCAGAAAAAAAAAGAAAACCAAGAATTATCGATGTTTTATCATAACTTAATCACCATAATTATAATTGATAAATGACACATATTTGGAAAGCTTAGATCCTCCTCTTTCATTTGATGCAACTCATATGATGCATATTTGGTGGGCGGTATCTGAACTTCAAAGAGAAAATCCCATTTCTAGTAAATTCGTTTTCTGCCCTTTCATATGACACCTCAATCAGGAAAAATGAGCCAGGAATAACAAAGTTATATTTGTTTAAAGTTAAGCTTGTATTTCCATAATTTGATTAAACAAATTCGTTTTCACTGGTTGCCTGCTGTGGCAACAACCAGAGTTGATAAAAGACTCAACTCCGTTTTGTTGACGATCAGCCATGCATCAAGTCTTTCGTCTTCTTTGGGCATGGCTGATCGTCAACGAAACAGATTTTTTCTTCTGGGACGCATTGTATAAATATTAGGTATCAAAATTCAATTTCAAGTTGATTGAAAACCAAAATCTTTTGTCCATGTTTGCTTGTATTCAGAAAATTTAAAACTGGGGTCCTTCAGGTAATTTGTTTGATTTAACTATAATTTTGATGGACTACGTTTTCTACCGTTAGGAGACTTCACTGCATGAGTCCATACATATTTTCTTTATGTACCCCTCAAATAATGTCTTTGTGCCACATTAACTTCCTCATAGGATACTGTTTTTTACTGTCTTTCAATTTCAATTAACAACTTCCAATATAGATTTACCACATGGAAAAACATAATTTAGGAACTTTAAATTAATCTTGATCTAAGGAGACACCGATGAATAAACATACAAGTGATAAAGAGGATATCATGGGGCCTACCAAGATACAAAAGTGGTTAACTATGCATGGCATTAGTAATGCAGAGTGCAAATTTGTTCTTCTTTTTTTAAATAATTTACCTGGTTCCTATCATTGATTCTGCCAATCTGCAAGCATGAAAAGCATGCAATTGTAGCAATTGGGACTCCCGGGGGGTGATTCACAAAGATCCTAAGTTGAACTTGACTCTAAGTTAGACTTAAATATTATGGAGAGCCATATGTAGCCTTAAAATGAAATATATTAAAAAGTGAAAATTGAAGCATTTTAGACTTTTTACAAATTCCACATCAAGTCATGAAATCCCCATTGGTAATAGAAAATATAGAAAATTTGAATCAACATTTTATGCTTTCAAAATAACTTTTAAAAAATATTTTCATAGATTTTATTTTACTACTTTTTATATGATGTTTTTAATGCCAGGTCCAAGATGCAAAACAGATTTACTTCTGATCTTGTGTACTTGTATAAATACATCTATGTATGAATGAATAAATAAATAAATAAATAAAGATGCCAACGGCTTTCCAAGTCCAACTTAGAGATAAGTTCAACTTTTAGGATCTTTGCAGGGGTGATAGTGACCAAAATTCTTCACTGCTTGCCTAGAGAGCATCTTCAAAACATTAGACTGGTCATCAAAGGGAATCAACATAAACGGGGAAAACATGAATCACCTAAGATTTGCAGACGATATTGTCATCATATCTCACAATTTAAACGACCTTGAAACAATGCTGCAAGAACTGGACGATGCAAGCCAACTAACAGGCCTCAAAATGAACATGAAGAAGACTAAAGTCATGGCAGGATCAGCCAAAGATCCAAAACAAATCCAAGTGAACGGTACCAAAATGGAGCAAGTAGAGGAGTATATCTACTTAGGGCAACGTTTCTCCCTCCAAGACAAAAATCAAGACAACGAAATAAGAAGAAGAATCAAAGCTGGATGGCGGGCCTTTGGCAGATACAGCACCATCATGAAAGGTAAACTTCCATTATGCCTGAAAAAGAAAGTATATAACCAGTGCATCATACCAGCAATCTCATACGCTGCAGAAACATGGACGCTAACTTCAAAATGGAAAGAAAGCTAGCAGCCTCGCAACACAACATGGAAAGAAGTATTCTAAGCATCACATACAAAGACAGAAAAACGAACAAATGGATCAGGGAACAGACAAAAGTCCAGGACATCCTTGAAACAGTGAAAAGAAGGAAATGGAATTGGGAGGGCCACATCAGCCGTAGGAATGACAATCGCTGGAGCTCAGCAATCACTCACTGGACACCATATGGGGGAAAGCGAAACAGAGGACGTCAAAGAAAAAGATGGCGAGACGAGCTGCAACAGTTCTGGGGACAGACAAATTGGCACCAACAGGCGCTAAACAGAAGCATTTGGAAACATCATGCTGAGGCCTTCATCCTGCAGTGGATTGACAACGGCTGATAAAGAAGTGAGCACTAAAAAGTGAGAAACCCCCCCCCCAAAAAAAAATTTTAAAAATACAAAATACAAAAAAAATAATGGATTTAGGAAAAAGGAAAAACATATCTTACATTCCCCTCCCCCCCCCCCCCCCCCCCCCCCACCCCTTTGAGTAAGAAATTGGGGGAAAATCTGGAAAATCTGGGAAAAATCAGGATAATAGAGGTTAAATCGGGAAGCAAAAAAAAAAATTAAATCAGGTAATTATGAGGTCTGTCTTTGTGAAACACCCCCCCCCCCCCCCAACCCCCCTGGAAAATGAAAAAGATCATTAACGGTGCCGTTCACCTTGACTGCACGTATAGGAAAGACTTACCAATCTGGTTGTCTGTTGAAGAGAGCACTTGAAGGATGGACATAGACGACCTGACCGTCAACAAGAGTCCTATATCCCTCTTGAGGATCCTACAAAACAAAACAAGCATTGATATCAATCAATTAATCATTTGTCATTCAAAATAATATGATTTTTCACTTTTCTATAGCGCTTAAAGCCACACTGCACTACTTGTAGATGCTTGCACCCTCTATATAACAAACAATGCCTAATCGGTGACCATTGGTCGTTAGTGCCGGGCTGGGATATGAAAACACTTCTGCTTTCGAGAAATTGAATAATAAAAAAATTACCGGTGCTCCCAGTTAATTTTAAATATTTCAAATAGCGCCTAAGACCATTCAATGGTAGCTGCAACATGAAAATCTCAGAATATGCAGTTCTGATATATAATTTTTAAACAGGAATAGCAAATTGGTCGATTATAGTCAAGAAACATTGTTTTAGAGCTAGAGTAATATCAGTCTTGAGAGGGCACTATACAACATAAAGAGTTTATTATTTATAATTTCATTACTTTAGACTCGATTTCAATCGCGACAACAATCATTGAATATTGTAAAATCGCATAGGATTCTAATATGTTCATTTGAACCAAATTCATGACCCCATACCAAAACTTTGTAATACCTTTAATATCATTACCATTTATCATTATCAATACTATTGTTGGTATAATTAACATTATCATCACTTTATTGAAACATTTATGAATCACTGTAAATCTCTTTAAAAGAAAGAAAAAAAAGTAGCATTCGATTATTCAACTTTAGTTATTGTTTTACTCACTTATGTATATATTCTGAGCCTTACCTTCTTAGCAGCATTCCTGAAGAAACCGCTGCAGATAGCCTTCTGAACCCTAGCTGTGTTCTTTCCACAAGTCACCACATCTAACTTGTGCCTGTCATTTAAAAATTAAAATATTAAAATAAAAACATAAGTATCATCACACACACAAATACGGCTTACTTTGATTCATCGGGTCGTGTCGGGTGGTCGCGTTACCTGACTTTTTGTGAAAACATGCCGTTTAATTCACAGAAATGTTGGGGGTAATATTACAGGAAAAGTAGAATTTAGAACATAAACAACTTTTAAGAAATGGAGAAAAGGTAAAATTCTTCGATAGTCATAGTGTATGCAACGTGTATGCAACAGGTAATGCCCAGACAATCTATTCATACCTGTCCATAATTCCCAGAAGCTGTATGCGGACATCCTGAGCCATGCGTAGGGTACGCGCTTGGGACAAAGTTCTCAAAGCACCAACTTAACATATTTAAACAAATCTTGAATTTCAAAAGGGATGGACACATTATCTTCAAGCCCTAAAGCTATATATGAAGCTCCTCTTTAAAATCACAATTCTTTTATTTCATGACAAATCTCCCCGTACCTGTCCATAATTCCCAGGAGCTGTTTGCGGACATCCTGAGCCCTGCGCAGGGTACGAGCCTGGACAAAGTTCTCAAAGCACCAAGGGTTGGAGAACTTGTTGTTCTTCCAGGAGTTATAGACGGCCAGCAGGGTCAGATGATCTCCCTCTGGCTGGTGGAACTTGGCCTTGCGTTGGTCTGCTAGACCTTGCTTGTCCTGAAGAGGAAAGTGAGGAGTGGAAGAAGTCATCTTAAGAACAATTTTACAAGAGCTCAGAAGGTTATACAGTGAAACCTGTCTTTAAAAGTATAGACCAGTTCTGGTCATGCGATTGCATTGTGAAAGAAACGTTGTGGAATCAATTTAGAAATGGTTGATCATCTAGCATATAAGTATTGGTGTGTACTGCAAGGTTCTGGAAACAAAAAATGTGGTCTTTGTAGACAGGCGGTCTTTCTACACAGGTGGTCACTTATTAGCAGGTTTGACTGTATCTGGCTTTTATCATACTATGTATAATTGTTCTTTTCACACATCAACTGCGGGATATATGCATTTTATTATAATTAACAGACCCGAGGCTTAAATCTATTCCATACAAGTTGAGAAGAAGAGCTATACCTCAAATATGAACAAAAAATGAAGTCCCACACATTCAATTTCATGTAAGATCAAAAGGAAGAAAACACATTAACTAGTGAAGGTAACAAGGTCTCACTCACCTTTGGTCTATAGAAGACGTTCTGCACAGAGAGCATGGATACCACAGTGAGGGTCTCTTCGCTGCAACCCAGATGAACGGACATGATGAGAACCTTGGACAGCATGGGCTCTAGAGGAAACTCGGCCATCTAGGAGATGAAAGAGATGTGCATCATGGAAGGTTATTTTGTGGGCCAGTCTCAAGAGTTTGTGCCTTTCATTTCATGCACTGTGATTTGTTTCAGTGCCTTCTCGACATTGCAAACATCTGCAGGCTACTTGATGAAATGTCAAGATGACCCAAACCCCATTTTGCTGGGCAGTGTTGCTGCAGAAGTGTTGTCCGTCTCAAAAACTTGAATCTCATCGCAATTAGATTGAGAGAGAGAGAGAGAGACAGCAAGATTCAGCAAACTCATTGAAATAGGATGTGTAGTATTTGTTCCAAGCTGCCATCACCATCACCGTAATCATTATCGTATCACCACTTACACTCATATAATCCTCATCCTCATCACTATCAGCATCTTCACCTTCTTCTTCTTCACCACCCGCAATATTATTATCATCATCATCATCATCATCATCATCATCATCACTATCATCACCACCATCACCACCACCACCATCATCATCATCACCATCATCATCATCACTATCATCATGATCATCATCATCATCATCATCATCATCACCACCCCCACCACCACCCCCACCACCACCACCATCATCAACATCATCAGCATCACTATCAGTATCATCACCTTCTTCCTCTTCACCGCCTGCAATATCATCATCATCCATAATCATCATCATCATCATCACCCTCAATATAATCATCATCATCCTCATTATCATCATCATCATCATCATCATCATCATCATCATCATCATCATCATCATCATCATCATCATCATCTTCATCACCATCATCATCACCACCACCACCACCACCACCACCACCACCACCATAACCACCACCACCACCACCACCATCCTCCTCCTCCTTAGTTCCTTACCCTTCTTCCCAGTTTGGTGAGCAGTCCTTCATCGTCCAACGCACTCAGCGAATGGAGCTGCTCCATGGCAGTGATCAACGTCTCCGTGGGCGGGGCATCCATGAAGTCAAACGCCAGAAGGTCGTTGATGCCCATGGCTTTCAGTGACAGAAGGGTACTAGCCAGGTTGGTGCGCTGGATCTCCGGCACCGCCGTGGGGAGCATCTCGTCTCGATAGGCACGCTCGGTGTAGAGGCGGTAGGTCTTGCCAGGACCGGTCCTGCCGGCCCTCCCTGCCCTCTGCTTGGCCTGAGCCTGGGAGATGGGGGTTACGACCAGCTGGTCCATGCCCGTCTTGGAGTTGTACACCTTCTGCTTGACAAAACCAGGGTCCACCACGTAGTAGATACCGTCGATGGTCAGGGAGGTTTCAGCAATGTTAGTGGCAATCACGACCTAGGTGTAGATGTTGAGAAAATCATTAAGATTCATTAAAGCTTATCTGTATTAGTTTATAGGAGGGATTAAACCACCCTGCAAGGTCACTTGACAGGTGGTTATCTCATCAACTCAGCTCTCAATTAACATAAGAAAAAGAGGATCATGTGAGGCCAATGGTCACTGATTAGTCATTGTTTTCTATATAGAGGGAGCAAGTAGCTACAAGTAAGACAGTGTGGCTTTAATCAATCAATCTCTCTCTAATGTACATCCTGATTTCTCTCTTACAGAGTGAAATAGACTGGCAAAATTTTAAGTTCAAAGATCCTGGTCGCATCTCGCGGGGAAGGGCGCATTAGAAAGGTAGAATTCTGGTACCCCCGGACCAAGGGATTTCATCTTTTATCTATCTATCTGTCTATCTACGGTATCTATCTATTCATCTATCATTCTTTCTCTTCATATTTTCACTTTCTTCTTTCTTTTATTCTTACCTTCCTACTACCAGGAGGGGCTGGATCAAAGATCCTTGTCTGCATCTCGCTGGGAAGGGCGGAGTAGACGGGTAGAATAAGTAGATCAGGTACCTCTGGACCAAGTGATTTCATCCTCTCAAAAAGGATCTCACAGGCCGTGTCGATCTCCTCCTGACCGGTCAAGAAGAGAAGAATGTCACCTGGTGATGAAGACAAAACATTTTAATGTTAGGTATTGAGTGATTTCAAGTACGGTGTTAGTTTTGGTGTTGGTGTGGAGAGCACGGAAAGGCTACTGAACCGAGCTCTAACACCGACGGTCAGTTTAGAAGGTCGATACATTTTCCGAGGTCAACCTCAACACCAGCATGACTTCAAGTTCAGTGTTGTAGTTGGTGTTGGTGTTCTCACAACACCAACACCAGCTTTCAACACCGAACTTGAAATCACTCATTGTATACATAGAACTTGGCTTGCTATTTAATTTGCAATACTAGAAGGCTTTTGTCCAGGTAAGAACTGTACTTAAATAGGTAGAGAATTTACACAAAATGGTGTTGTGACAGTAAAGATATTTAGTGCGACTTTGGTACAAACGTAACCATGATTTGTTGTCATCAGCACCATTGATTCTATTGCATTATCATAATTATCCTCTTTAATATCAAAAGCCACTTCATCATGACTACTAAAATAACTAGCATTGACAATTCAATCTTAATCATCATCTTCATTATCATTACCATCATCATTATCATTACCATCATCATTACCACCACCATCATCCTCATCATCATCATCAGCATCATCATCCTCCTCATCATCATCACCATCATCACCACAGCCAATACCATCACCATCACCACCACCAATAACATCAACACCACCATCTCCACTATTAAAATCACCACTATTACCATCACCACTACCATCACCACCACCAACACCACCACCCCTCACACCTCCACCACCATCATCACCACAGCCACTACCAATACTATCACCACCACCGACACCACCATCGCCATCTCCACTCTTAAAATCACCACTATTACCAACCCCACCACCAACCCCACCACCCCTAATACTTCCACCACCTCCACCACCACCTCCACCACCACCACTACCACAATCAGTATCCTCATCATCACACTTGGAGGTTCTGTAAGATGTATTTGCATGACGGTGATAAGGGAAGCATCCAGATAGTCAGTCTCATCACCACCACCACCTCCACCACCACCACCACCACTACCACAATCAGTATCATCATACCTGGAGGTTCTGTAAGATGTATTTGCATGACGGTGATGAGGGAAGCATCCAGACAGTCAGTCTCATCACCACCACCAACATCACCACCCCTAACACATCCACCACCACCACCACCATCACCATCACCACCACTACCACAATCAGTATCATCATACCTGGAGGTTCTGTAAGATGTATTTGCATGACGGTGATGAGGGAAGCATCCAGACAGTCAGTCTCATCACCACCACCAACATCACCACCCCTAACACATCCACCACCACCACCACCATCACCATCACCACCACTACCACAATCAGTATCATCATACCTGGAGGTTCTGTAAGATGTATTTGCATGACGGTGATGAGGGAAGCATCCAGATAGTCAGTCTCATCACCACCCCTAACACTTCCACCATCACCACTACCACAATCAGTATCCTCCTCATCATCATACCTGGAGGTTCTGTAAGATGTATTTGCATGACGGTGATGAGGGAAGCATCCAGATAGTCAGTCTCATCACCACCACCACCTCCACCACCCCTAACACTTCCACCACCTCAATCACCACCACCCCTAACACTTCCACCACCACCACTACCACCACCACTACCACAATCAGTATCCTCATGATCATCATACCTGGAGGTTCTGTAAGATGTATTTGCATGACGGTAATGAGGGAAGCATCCAGATAGTCAGTCTCAGGGTCCTTGGTGTAGAGAATCTCCACAGGGAATGTGCGGCCAGGAATAGTGAAAATGGGCTGGATACAAGGATATTAATTTGTGAACATGTTAATCATCAGATTATTCAGCAAGTGATAGATATAACACCATTTAAATATACTGAAACATATCAATCAAAGAGGAAAATCTAGAACTTCATTTCATGATATGCATACCATTGCAGTACAAAATGTGTACATGAATATACATATCTGTGACACAAACTAAAAACATGATATATTTATTTCTGCGATGCCAAAACCTTTGCAATATCCTACAAAATTGTTTCATTACGTTGTTAATATCAATAAAAAGTCTACGCAGAGTATCGAAATATGTCAAGAATATTAAATCAATTGCCAAGTTGAGCGCTCAATGAAGAGAAATAATAATCGTTACAAAACATGTTTGGAGCACTCACAGCTTCGAAGAAATACGCTGAGAACTTGACGGCATCGAGCGTGGCCGAGGTCACGATTAGCTTGACGTCGGGTCTCTTCTTGACGGCCTTCTTCAGTAGTCCAAAGAGAACGTCGGTATGGATGGTCCTCTCGTGGGCCTCGTCCAACATCAGGACCGAGTACTGGGTCAGGTCTGGGTCTATCAGACACTCCCTCAGCAGCATACCGTCCGTCATGTACTTGACTTTGGTCTCCGGTGACGTGCAGTCTTCAAAACGCATGGTGTAACCAACCTGTGTGGTGACACACGATAAAGCATTAAAGGTAAAGACCAGTATTGGCAACGCCCCAATTTCAAAAAATGAAATGGCAGCTCTCATTACCAATCATGTGAAAGAATATGTTTTGAATAATACATGATGATAAAAAATTTGCCAGGAAACCGCCTACTAATTCATATATTTGGTAAATTTATTTCTCTCATGGTCTGGTGAGAGAGATAGGGTAGTCCCATATACATCTTTCTGTGTATAGTGCTTGTAACTTTACGAAGAATGAGCCAAATTTCTTATCATTTTGATGATTCCAGAACCTTGCAGATGCTAGATGCTAGATGATCGACCTTTTCTGATCGATTCCACAACGTTTCTTTCACAATGCAATTGCATGACCATTACTGGTCTTTACCTTTAACATGCAGATATTATGACATGTTATCCCTCTGATAATTCTTCCAAGTTCTCAAGGACTTAAACAAATGTTAACGGGGGGGGGGGGGGGTCAATTTGACCACCCCCTCCCCCCTGTAGTAATTTAGCGACTCCTCTGGAACTACGGCAGATATAAAGTTTTCCTTTCATGACTTTTTTCTTTCGAGTCTTACGCATCTTTTAAAACCATATTTTTTGAAAATCGGATGTACAGTTACAAAGTCACGTGACCTTTTGTCTTTGCATGTCAGCCCGAAAATCCCTCATTTTTGTGATTTCGTGTACAAAACATAAGGAAATATCATTTTTCCTGAAAAGAGATAAAACATTGGTTATTTGGTCTTGTTAAAAGTTTAGGTGTTGGTTTTGGGGGTCAAAATAGTTGAATTGTAGTTAGAAATGGTTAAAAATAGCACCAATGCCACCTCCAAAGGAAGGTCAACTGCATTGTGTCGATTACCCTTTTCCTCTAGTAGAATATGTGCATCATTGGACTTAACATGTACAGTCAAACCTGTCTATAGCGACCGCCCAAGGGAAACACAAAAAGACACAAAAAGTAGTCTTTGTAGACAGGTCCATTTAGTACATGTTTCAATGAGAAACCATTTACAAGGGAAACAAAAAATGTGGTCTTTGTAGACAGGTGGTCTTTGTAGACAGGTTCTTTTAGTACATGTTTCAATGAGAAACCACTTTCAAGGGAAACAAATAAATGTGGTCTTTGTAGACAGGTGATCACTAAAGCAGGTTTGACTGTACCTGTATTCTAATCGTCTCCAAAATGAATTAAATACTGGCATATAACGGCTCTCTTTCCACTTGTTCCCTGTGACGAATACACAATTTTCAATGATCACAAAGTACCAAGGCACACTCACCTCTTGTCCAAGTCTGCACCCAAACTCTTCAGACACCCTCTTGGCAACGGACATGGCGGCCACCCGACGAGGCTGCGTGCATCCGATCTTGCCCCGGATAGTGTAGCCAGCCTCTGCGATGTACTGGGTAATCTGGGTGGTCTTTCCACTGCCGGTCTCTCCAATGACGATGAGGATTTGATTCTCATCCACAGCCTAGAAATGAATGAATGAATGAATAAATGAATAAATGAATGAATGAAATTAAGTAGAATCAAGATATGGGGCACAGTGGCTTTAATTTGGCCCCCAATCCTGGATACTTAAAGAGAAGGTTGAGTTCTGGTCAAGCGATTGCATTGTGAAAGAAACGTTGTGGAATCAATCAGAAAAGCTTGATCATCTAGAATATAAGTATTTATGTGTATTGCAAGGTTCCTTATGATGTTATATGACATATTTAGAATATTAAAGCATTTGAAGAGCCATGCTTTTCAGGGAACATGTTTTATGTTGCTGCACAAAGATTTAATCAGTTCAATTTTGACCATTTAAAGTATTGGGCTATTTATGTCGACAAATAATCATGTACCTGTTACAGCTCATTTTATGTATGTAATTACCGAAGAAAAAAGAAGATGTCAGTCAGTCACTCAATAGTGTCTGACAGTGAAGTCTAGAAGGTAAACGGGTTTCCTTGCATAATTTGAATACTAGGACACTGCTAACGTTTAAATTTCACTGATAGGACATACATGACATATCCATAATTCCTGCAAAGTTCTATGGAATTTGATGTTGGCTGCAAAAGGGACATAGCATCTTGAAGGCAACATATTTGTAAAAGACATTGAATAACATTTTTCTGCAGCAAATAATAATAATAGCGCACGTATTGACCTTGCAAGGTCCTCAAGGCGCTCCAACATTACCCGGCTATGCTAGGCTGCCGATTTCGACGCTCACAGCATTTTAAGGAATTCCTTCCTACCGGTACCCATTTAACACCTGGGTGGAGAGTGGCAAATGTAGATCAATGTCTTGCCAAAGGACATTAGTGCCGCGGCAAGAAATGAAGAAATTACATTTTTAAAGTAGCGATCAGAAGGGCGGGTAAAAAAAGAAAAAACTTTTCTCTCTTCTCACCTGCACCAGTTCCTTCTTGAGTCTATAAATAGGCAGACTCTGCCTCTGCTCCACGATGGAGAGCTTGGTTTTCTTTCCGTAGGAAGCCTTGTTTCCACCAAAGGCCGATTTCTTCCACTCCGGCAACTCCTGACTGGTCATACCGGTCTTACGGATGTTGGCAACGAGAGTTCGTTCACCTAAGGATACAAGTTAAGAAGAAGAAATAAGGGTCTGTTTCAAATCCCGAAAATTAGCGATTTTCGGGCTGACATGCAAAGACAAAAGTTGGGTGACTTTGTACCGGTAGGTCTGATTTTCGGAAAATTTCTTTCAGAAGATGCGCAAGACTCAAAAGAAAAAAAGTCACAAAATTTCAGCGCAAGATTTTTTTGCATTAAGAAATTATCGAGAAAAATGTGAAGGGGTAGATAGGGTTAAGTGGATCCGGTAACTTTGTACTAGATTCTGAAACGAAATCCTGGATATAGCTCAAGCTGCAATATTTAGGTCAGTCAGGAACCCAATGACTGTTACAAGCCGATCGCCTGTCTGATTATAAAGATATTTATGATTGGACATCAAATCTAAATTTTGCGATTGCCAAACTGTTTTCACAAAACTACTGTATATTGGGGAAAACAAGTATGGTAAAACCAGTCACTCAAAGATTTCTACTTTTTTTAGGCACTTCTTGATCATTTTGAAGCGCAATTTGTTTAGGGCTTCAATATTACACCATATCACAGACACTGATAACACGTAGAGCCGTGCATCTCAGATTTAACATTGTTAAACGATGCCTTTAAATATAAGTGTATGGACTTACTCTCAGGCATGGGATCAATCCAGTTCTTGTTCATTCCGGTGGGGATGTTCTCAGCCTCTGCTCTCTCCGTCGCTTGTTTCATCTCCCGTCTCTCCTTGGCCAAGGCGCTCTGCATCATGGCAGCCTTGGACAGGGTTCCATCAGGATTCTAATAATAGGGAAAATACAGTTTTGGGGCATTTACAGAATTATCATTTTCATCAAGAAGCATAAATGAAATCCAGGGCATAGAAAGTGTTTTGAATGGTGTGTGTGGGGGAGGGGGGGGGGGTTGCAAGGCTTAAATTAATCCAAGGCCACCAAGGCCACCAAGGCCATGGCCTTGGATGCCTCTTTGATTGGCCTCAATGCCCCTCTCATTGGCCTTGGAGATTTTTGGTGCCCTTTCCAATTCTTCCTATTTGTGCTGTAATATCGGAGTGTGCCCTACAGAAAAGTGGCCTTGCCCTAAAAATATTGAAATTTAAGGCCTTGGGTTGAGAGGAAGTGGATGTCATGCTTAATGACAGGAAGGGACAAATTGCTAACAAGCAACAAATAACTAAATAAATATATGGCCAAATCTGAAATCTAAAGAGATTAATAGACATTAAGACAACCAATTAGCCATTGAGCATCTGAAAAAGTCCACTTGATTTTAAATTGAAGACAAATTATGACAGATATTGGTAATATCTTTATGCCTGAAAAAGTCTGTGGGTAATTTTTTAACATTTCACTATGAAATACTATGAATGTGTAGTCTCATTTTTGTTCCAGTTCCCTCAAGTTTGACATCCAAGAGCATGTAACAAAATCAAATTTCAACAGTTTAAATACACCCCCCCCCCCTCCCCAAACAAAAAACCAAACAATGGTAGAGCTTCAGGGGCTGGGTAATACCTTCACGATCATGACGGGAGTGAGGTCAATGATCTGTCTTCAACGACCCCTCAATACTGAGGGTTCCTCATCTGTCAGAAAATATCATTTATCTCATGTCAAATATTGCTCATCAGACAATTTCACAGCACTATTTCTATCATGCCAGTAAAACAGTTTTTTACAGCCTCACTGCACTACTTCTAGCTACTTGCGCCCTCTATATAGCAAACGATATCTAATCGGTGACCATTGGTCCCCCATGATTCCCTTTTTCTTATTTTAATTGAGAGCTGATTTGATGAGATAACCACATGTCAGTGACCTTGCAGGGAGGTGTAATCCCTCCAGGCTAAACTAGTGTAGACGGCCTTTAAATATTAACCTACCTTAACAATCCTGACTGGACTGAGGTCAACACTCTGTCTGCCATGACCTCTCAGGAAGGGCGGGTCCTCCTCCCTCAGCTCAATCTCAATCTCCTCATCTGAGTTATCCTCATCCTTTGGAAGGATACCGGTTGTCTCATCAAAGTCGGGGAAGTCGGCCTTGTCTATGCAACTTGCCGCCATCATCTAAAGCAAAGTACAACAGGTGGAATGCAAGGTCATTAGGAATTTCGAGTTCCGGGCAGCATCTCACAAACCATAATAAATCATACAATGTCATGCAGTTCACCGATACCCTGATGACAAAAATGTGTTATAAATCTAAGCACACACATTTTTTTTTTATGGGATGTCAGTGAACTTATTAGTGAAGATTTATTACAATTTGTGTGACTGACTGACAGAAATATAAAATTTCACAAATTCTGCTTTATTTTACACTGAAGTGCAAGTTACAAGCCAGGAATAAATGTCAAAAGTCAACAGAGTTTAAAGGAATGCCCAATAGCAGATTAGTGAGTAAAGTACAACAGGCAGAATGGCCAGTAATTTTCCAACCATACTGTCAACAATAAAGATTTAGCAATATCTGTATCAATTTACACTGAACTGAAAGTTACAAGCCAGGAATAACTGTCAAAAGTCAACAGAGTTTGAAAGAATGCACAATAGTAGATTAATGACTAAAGTACAACAGGGCGGAATGGCTTGTAATTTTCCAAGCACACTGTGAACAATAAAGATCTCACAATATAATTATCACTGAACTGGTGCGACATGACCGATTTTAAGCCGATATATTTAATACAGTACGCCTGGCAATTAAGAAACCTACAACATTGAGAGCAAAATACACTTTGGTGATGGGTCACCCGTTAATTGCAAGCATACCTGTTTGAGTTCCCACTTCTCAGGAGAAGTGACCCTCTGGACCCTCTTCCTGATGGCCACATCATCAGAGTCCGGAGGGTTGATCAGCGGCAGGTCGGCAGGTCGGCACGGGTTCATGCCCTCTTCCTCGTTCGTCTCGGGGGCATTCTGCAAAAATAGAGGCAAATTTAATTTTACAGGGATGATAGTGAGCACTAAAAAAAAAAAAAGAGGATTCGAGGGGAAAAAATGGCATCTAACAACATTCCACCTTTTGAGTAAGAAAATTTGGAAAAAATCAGGAAAAATCAAGAAAAATCTGGAAAATAGGGATAACATCGAGAAGAAGAAAAAACGTTGGGAACAATAAAGATCAGGAAAAAATCGGGAAACTGATTTAATTCGGGTAATTATCAGGCCAATTTAAGTGGGTTGATTTCGAAAATGTCTCTCTCTGAAATGCCTAAGAAAGTGACGCAGGTTTGAACCCTGTTCTTTTCTTACAGAAAGTGAAGGGTAAAAAGCCATATAGGTCAGCCTAAAGATGTAAATAATCTTATATTCCTCAGATAGTCGTCTCTTAAAATGATACACAGAGTCACGATTCAAAAATATTTCCATTTCAAAAAGCATGACAAGCTGATATATATCATGGCAGACTGCTTTTAGAGTCCCCAAAGATTTTCCAGGACCTGGGTCTCGACCAAAAACCACTAGCCTGGCTGGAATGCTCCCCAGGGAGTAGAGATTGTGCCCACAGTGTGTGCGGGCCAGCACTGAATCCAATGACTGGGGTAATAATATATTTGTAAAGCGCTTTAATAGAGATATTTGTATTAAGCACTATATAAAAATTAAATATTATTATTATTATTATACAAACCTTTGCTTTGGCTGGGTTCAAGTCCTCTCCTGAATTCTGATCAACATCTTTCATGGAAAGTCTAATCTTGGTTCCTGCGATGGAGAGTACCTTGACCTTGACCTGTTGACCTTTTGACACGACATCAGTGACTTCAGCGACCCTTCCTTCTTTCCTCAGCTATATAACACAAAAGTTGAAAAATTGAAGAGAGAATTCAAAATAAACATCATTAAATGTAATATGTATAATTTCAAGTGGTACTATCAAAATCAGTCAGTACTAGACCAGTTCACGGTTAGCAAATGACCCTGAATATCCACAATTCTTCAAAACATGAAGAGGTCCCACTTTGTACATTTTGAAATAATCACTCTTCGTTGATGGAGGTGCTATATAAATAGCCTTTGTTTTCCCCTATTTCAAAGAATACTTCCACCTGTGTATCATTGAGTGCACTGCTTGTGCATGAATGAATAATGATTACATAACTTGCATGAGCATGTATCCAGTATTTCATCTCCATGTATTTCAAAATTTGTTCTGCAATGACCTTTGTCTGCTCATGCTCAGACTGCAACCGTGAACTGGCTTATTGGGGCAAAAGATTATTGTCTGCGAGGCAACCAAGGGAGCATTACATATAGAGATACTTCTCATTAGTTATTAAATTTGTAAACAATTATATGTTCAGCAAGTTAACATCATTAATGTCCATTGGTATAACAGATATAGACTTGATTTCAGAGAAGGGAATGTTTCATAAATAAAGTGCAATATAACCCCATACCATCCCATTTTTTTTATAATTCAATAAAAAAAAAATACATCGTTTATATCATTATAACACTTAATTGAGTTCTAAACTGCACTGCAATGAACATATTGGAAGCATATGCGATCCTACAATAGTCGGTAATCATTGTCGCGGTTGAAATCGAAATTGTAAATAATAAACTCTTTAAAACAATGTTGCTTAACTAAAATCGACCGATTAGCTATTTCCGTTTGAAAACTATATATCACAACTACATATTCTGAAATTTACATGGTCGCAGCTACCAGCGTACGGCTGTAGGCGCTATTTGAAATGAATTAAAATTTACTGTAAGCACCGGTAAATATTTATATTCCATTTTTCTCGAAAGTAGAAGTGTTTTAGGGGCTTCATTTTCTAGTGCTTATAATAAATCTACAGGGGCATCCAAATATATCAAAATTATAAAGAATCACTATCCACCCAATTTTCAAAATTTCCCAAAACTTTGTATTACCTTTAAAAAATCTATAGGAGAAGTTCCAAAATAAAGATTTACCTCGGATATATGCACCAAGCCCTCACACCTTCTCCTGAGAGAGAGCTGTACAAAGCAACCATACTGCATCACACTCGTAACCTTCCCTTCGTAAACCTCCCCCACCTCCGGCTCAAGCGAGGGCGGTCTGTCCACAAATTTATCATTGTACTTCTCCTTCCTGGAGTCGCCGCCTTCCGCTTCTTTACCACCATCGTCCCGATCACGGTATTTCCGCTTGTCGCTGCGCTCTCTGCTCCTGCTCCTGCTCCTATGCCTGCGACTGCGATCGCGGCTCCTGCTACGCCTCCTGTCGCGATCACGGCTACGGGATCGAGAGCGTCTCTTCTTTCTATCTCTGTCTCTGTCTCTGTCTCTATCTCTATCTCTATCTCTGTCCATATCTCTGTCTCTTTCTCTGTCCCTATCTCTATCTTTGTGCTTAGTTTTGTGCTTGCGGGGTTTGTCATGGTCAGGGCTTCTGCTCCTACTCCTAGCTCTGCTGTCATCCTTGCCAGACTTCCTCGACTCTGGTTCATCTCCAGCTTCTTGTTTTCTGAAATTAAAAATGGATTTGAGCTTTAATATGATGCCCAGAAAGTTTCTTTGAATGACTGTCAATACTACTGGGCCAGAAGGGATTAGACCACCCAGCCAGGTCACTGACAGGTGGCTATCTCATCAACTCAGCTCTCAACTAACATAAGAAAAAGAGGATCATGGGGGACCAACAGGCACTGATTGGGGAAGTTTTCTATATAGAGGGAGTAAGTAGCTACAAATAGGACAGTGGGGCTTTAAGTAATTGAAAATAATAAGTATTGATTTAATATTTTCTACGGTAGTTTAGTGAAATGTAGTGGCAAGGAAAGACGTGTCCGTAATGCAAACTGCACAATTCTTGAAAATCATAATTTTATCACACAGAGGTAGACCCACATCGCTAGCATATCAAACTGGTAAATGCATATACCATCTTGATGAGGCTTAGAGTTAGCAAAACTTTCATTCAGAGTGCCCAAAAAAGGACATCAAAACCACAAACTATACATTTTCCCTTCCGGACGCATCTTTCTGTGCTGCTACACTTTACCAAGCTACCTACATGTATCACTATGAACATGACGGACGAAGAAAGCGGACAAAATATACAGTGCCTCATTCTACCCTCAACAATTGCTATGGTAGACAAAGGAACATCCCTTCACTGCTATTATTTAAAAATCTGTAGAACAGGTGTCACATGCATATTCACCTGTTCTACAGATTTTTACATAATAGCAGTGAAGGAATGTTCCTTTGTCTACCATAGCAATTGTTGAGGGTAGATTGAGGAACTGTATATTTTGTCCGCTTTCTTTGTCCGTCATGTTCAGAGTGCTCACTCAGAAAGTACAGCCTAACAGGCAGTCAGCTCAGTTTTAGCTCCCGGATTTTTAACTTTGTGATCGTTGTTTCGTCAAACGTCGTGTTTTTACTGTTAACTACTAGAGAAAGTGTATATCTGGGAAGCACCAGGACAAGTTTGGAATTGAATTTTACGCTTCCAGTTGTGATATTTCCTGGAAAACACTTCTTGATTTATGCTGTACTGGGTATGTACTGAAGCCATGTTCGTGTAGTCACTTTGCCGTGTATGTTGAGAAGGGGACAAGAGAACAATAGAAGTGTCCCCCTCAGACAATAGAAGGGTAACATCATTCAAAAGCAAGGGGTACTGGCCAATACGCTCCGATGGAGATACACAAGTTAAGCGTACTACTAATCCTTCTCTTAAGTACTTGCCCCAGGCAAGCGCCTGTAACTGAATATGCTCATCGCTTTGAACCTGTACGGTGTCAAAGTAGTCTACACAGAGGGTACCACGGAGCCCGTATTCCCTACTACGCTAATTCATATATCACATTTCAACTCTCGATAATATGTAGTGGAGATATAGAAGTCAATCCAGGACCCTCTACCACGGAAACCAGATTGTCAACGCACCGTTGCTTGTCTGGAATATCATTCAATGCCCGAAGTATACGGCACAAGTGCATAGATTTGTTAACTTTCATAGAATGCACTCGACCTGACATTATCTGTATTACGGAAACCTGGCTGGATTCATCATGTACTGATAGTGAACTTTCGATCCCTGATGACTATGTCATATTTCGACGAGATCGTGAAACTGTTAATGATGTACGTCACGGTGGTGGTGTTCTTTTGTGCTTGAAAGCATGTCTAAACCCTAGACGGTTGGAAAATCTCGACCACCAACAGTTAGAAAATATATCAGCGGAGATATCCATAAACGGTTCAAAATGGATTGTATCTGCACTATACAGACCTCCAAGCAACCTATCGGACTTCTGGGATCGACTTCAAGACCACATCGACCAGATCCAGGTGTCCTCATTGAATCACAGAGGTATCATACTGACTGGTGATTTTAACATCGATGTGAAGGATTCTGATGCACCTGATGCTGTTAGGCTGTTGTCCATGTTGGAAGCAGCTGATCTGTCTCAGGAAGTGAAGTCTGTCACACGCCAGTCAACACGTAACCCCACAATTGGTTCGACGATTGACCACTTCTACACTAACCGTCCAGATCTATTTGATTCTATTAATGTTCAGCCTAACCCGGTTTCGAGTGATCATCTCGCCATCTATTTTAGATTCAGACTGCTCAAGCCATTCGTTGGAAAGGGTACATTACGCGAATTTCTCCTCTACAAAAAAGCCGACTTTGACCATTTCAATCAATTGTTGGAGTTAGCTCCCTGGGACCTGTATTTTGACCTTAATGATGTTGATGCCACTTGGGAAGGATTCCTTGATTTGTTGTTGGCAGCTTCCCGTGATGCCATACCACATAAGTTATCCGGATCCAAGAAGACAAAAGCGTGGATCACTCGAGAAATCAAGGGCCTCATTAGGAAGAAACATAGGCTCTTCACAATTGCTAAATGCTCTAATAGTTCAGGTGACTGGATGAAGTTCAAAGAAGTCCGGAATAAAACGAAGAGCATGATTAACAGTTCATACTGGTTGTATGTCAACCACCTGTTTACATTGAATGATAACCGAAAACGTTTCTTTGCCTATGTTAGGTCAAGAAAGACTAGCTTGGCCCCTCCGGTCCTCGTTGATAACAACAACGTCATCAATAAACCAAACGACATTGCAGAAAGGTTTGCAACTTACTTCCAGTCTATTTACCCTCCTCCTAGTAACTTACCAAATGTTCCTGACGCGTGTGTTCATCCGATTCCTCCACTTTGTTCCGTAGAGATATCTACTAGTGATATAGCAAAGGCTATAATGCTTCTACAAGATAAGAAAAGTCCAGGTCCTGATTCTATCACGCCAACGATGCTTAAGAAATCTGTAAAAGTTATCTCACCAATTCTTCAGCGCCTATTCGCCTTATTTCTTCGACATCAATCTCTACCATCTTCGTGGAAACAGGCTAATATCTCACCTGTTTTCAAAGCTGGTAATCGGTCGCTTGTAACAAATTATCGTCCAGTAGCACTAACGTCCATTGTTAGTAAATTGATGGAATCGTTCATTTCTAGGGCAATCTGCAATCACATGGAATCGAATTGCCTTTCATCACAAGTCCAGCATGGTTTTGTATCTAAAAAATCATGTGTGACCCAACTTCTGACCATTACTCACCAGTGGATGTCTATCTTAGATCAACGTCGCCCGCCCCGTATTGACGCAGTCTTTTTCGACTTTTCAAAAGCCTTCGACCGCATGCCTCACGATGTTCTATTGCACAAATTGTCTTCATTATATAATGTTACTGGTGACGTATGGTACTGGATTCGGTCTTTCCTGTCTGGACGTCAACAGCGTGTTCAGTATAAAGGATATTTCTCTCCACGGAGTTCACCAACATCCGGTATCCCACAGGGCAGCGTATTAGGTCCTTGTCTATTTAACTTGTTCATCAATGACCTGCCCCGCTACATTGACTCCTCATGTGCATTATTCGCGGATGACACTGTCATCTCTCGCCCCATGTATGCTCCCGTCGATCACCAATACCTCCAAAATGACATCGATAGCATTCATCAGTGGTGCCAAGACAACAAGATGTGTCTCAACGCTTCAAAATCTAAAGTCATGAGGATATCATGCGCTAAGAATCCAGGTATTCCCGAGTACAGCATCAATAGCGTTCTTCTTGATGTAGTAACTGAGACCAAATATTTAGGTGTCATGATAAATAACCGCTTATCTTGGGATAGTCACGTCAACTACATTGTCTCACGAGCCAACCGGCTCCTTGGGCTGCTTTCTAATGTTTCATCTGGTCTCTCTTCCCACGCTACACTTTGTCTGTACAAAGCTCTTATTCTACCCATACTCGAGTATGGTCTACCGGTTTGGACCCCGTATACGAAAAATTTAATCGGTAAGGTTGAAGGTATTCAACGTAGAGCAACCCGAATTATCCTTAAACAAAGAAGAATGGAAATGTCATACGAGGAAAGGTTGCGACGCCTCCGCTGGTCATCTCTTGAGTCTCGTCGGAAGTATACTTTGATCACATTCATTATCAAATGTTTGTTTACATGTATGTATGTATCCTGCGATAGTGTAAACAGCGCCATAAATGTAAACCCAAGGTATAGTACCGACCTGAAGTTCAAACATTTGTTCGCTCGAACTGAAAGACTGCGTTCGTCAGCCATTAACTCATTTCCCAGATTGTGGGACACACTTCCTCAACATATTCGTAACGATGTACTATTGACTCAAATTGGCACTTGGTGCTCCCACTTGAAGGTGCTGAACTCTGGCTTGTAAATCTGTATATATGATTCCGTATTTATTCATGTTGTATTATACATTATATTTCTTAATAATATTAATAATGATTGTAACTATTATGTTATAATCGTAGCAATAATAATGATTGCAATAACAATAATATAAATGATGTTGATAATAATGACGAATATGCTTATACATATTTGTAACAGTGTGATTTTTTAATGCTGTTTATGCTTTCTTATTGCTAGTTGTTTAATTGCTGCTGTTTATAGTCATTTATAGAATATAAATAATTCTTCAATTCTATAAATAAGACTTCACATAATAACCACCTGAGATGTATACCGTATAATTTTTGTTCCATTTCTCATTATATAATATGAAACAATAATGATATGTACTTGAAATAATACACAGTCCATTTTTACCATTCCAAACCATTCCAAAATTGTATTACTGAATTTTAATATTTTCATAATCATGATATAGGGCTTACATTCATCTGTACATATTATGATCGTGCAATAGCTTCGAGACTGGTTGTTGTTGAAATTGTATTTTCAATGAAAATTAATTTTTTTGTTGATGTTTTAATATAAATATTGATGTCAATGATATAAATTATAATAATCATAATAATAATGATAGTAACGGTAGTAGTAATAATGTTAATAACGATAATGATAATGATATTGTATATTTTTTTTACAACGTGATGATGGTGTTAATGATTAACAGTAACAATATGTTACTATACCTGTCATGAATTCACAATTTAAAAAAAAATTGTCATGCAATGTTTTTTTTTTTTTTTTTTTTTTTCTTTCTTTCTTTTTTTTCTTTTTTTTCTCTTTCTTTTCTTTTTTTTCTTTTTCTTTTTCCTTCGTTTTTCTCCCTTTTTCCTCCATTTTTCTTCTCATCTATCTTTTCTTTTTAAAGCTTTATTTTAACCAATATCAGGTGCATCTAGTCGGGTGTGGGGAGGAAGGTCTGCGGATCACAGTTATTTGGTTAACTTTTTCCATACCCGGGCAGCTCGACCGGATGCACCTGCTATTGCAATATTTATATATGCTTTCTATTGATTTTTTAATCTCAATTCATGTTTGTTATATTGTTGTATTATGTGACTTGATTTGCCAAATAAAATAATAATAATAATAATAATACCGGTACTCACATTTGTGCTGCTAAATTTCTAGGCATGAGAGCTTCTAACTCGTCCATTGCATCCATTGCAACTTGCTTGTCTCCCTCCAACATTTCCTGTACAGATCAAAAAAGTAACCAGAGGTGTATCATATCCATTTATCTACACTGCATGCATACTCCGCACTTTTAATCAGTATGATCTTTTGATATCTGAATGCACTCCACATTTTCATAAACGACTGAACTATTATGAACGACTTGGCACGGTACGTAGTGGCACGGGTCGGTACGGTTCGCTTCCATAAATAAAAGTGATTTAATTGTAACTAATCATTGGCAAAAATCACAGAAACCTTGAGTTTTTTTCCAATGCAGTACGTTGTGCCGTTCTTAAATAAGAGCGATATAATTGTAACTAATCATAAAAGTGATTTAATTGTAACTAATCATTAAAGTCTCGAAATTGGCAAAAATCACAGAAACTTTGAGTCTATTTCCAATGTAGTACGTTGTGCCATTCTTAAATAAAAGCAATTTAATTGTAACTAATCACTAAAGTCTCTAAATTGGCATAAATCACAGAAACTTTGAGTCTATTTCCAATCCAGTACGTTGCTCCGTTCTTGAATAAGAGCGATTTAATTATAACTAATCATGAAATCATGGCACGGGTCGGTTCACTTCCATAAATAAAAGCGATTTAATTGTAACTAATCATTAAAGTCTCTAAATTGGCAAAAATCACAGAAACTTTGATTCTATTTCCAATGCAGTACGTTGTGCCGTTCTTAAATAAGAGCGATATAATTGTAACTAATCATTAAAGTCTCTAAATTGGCACCACGGTGTAAAAATATAAAATCAATATTTTGGGGTACGAATGGGCAATGTTTCAGTGATATTTTGAATTTTCTATAACATTTGTTCATTTAATAAACATTTTTTATTCTTCAAACTCTAACAGGGGTTGAAAATAAGATTATTCTTGGCCAATTTGAGGATGGTAAAACCGATCAATTGCTATTGGTTTATAGCAGGTTACCTACCCTGACTGCTGGTTTATCAGGAATACATAGCCCGGGGAAGGCCTGCCTCTTCTCGTCCTTCTTGTCGTTTGGCCTTGCTTCATCCTCCCCGTCTCTCCGCACCTTCTTGGGCTTCATGTGCTGGATGAGACGCAGCAGGTTGCCGGTGAATGACTCCGGGAAGTCGGCCCCGTTTTCCACCAGAACGGACTTGAAGTCTTCCAGGGTGTCATGCTTGTCAGCAAGACTGATGATGAATTCAGCTGCAAGGATGACATTTTTTATTTGCACATTATACATGAAATAATATACTGTCAAACCTGCTTTAGTGACCACCTGCCTACAACAAGCACATTTTTTGTTTCCCTCAAAAATAGTTTTCTGATTTTGAAATGGTTAATAAAGAGTAAGCGGTATAATAAGAAAAACTAACAAAAATTGAAGTTTGTGCACTTTCTTATCAGGCCCATAAGTAATTTCATGTAAAGTCTCCTAATTAATTGAAAAACACTAAAAGAATGAGAATTCACAGGTATACATGTATCTACAGGCCCATCTGTGCCTAGCAAGTATTATCTATCAAATAATTCACAATAAAAGTGTCATTTTGTTTTATTACCAACGGTCATGCCCATATGCCTTCCTGACATTCCTTAATTCTTGTTACAAAAACTGATTCTCATATTTTCATGATATAATGTCCCTATGCACTTCCAAAGAGCTTTGCAAATTATCATCCTAGCTTAAAGGTAATACAAAGTTTTGGGAAATTTTGAAAAATGGGTGGATAGCGATTCTTTACGATTTCGATATATTTGGATGCCCATGTGGAAGTATTCAAAGCACTAGAAAATTTAGCCCCTAAAACACTTCTGTTTTCGAGAAAAATTGAATATAAAGATTTACCGGTGCTCCCGGTAAATTTTGATAAATTTCAAATAGCGCCTACGGCCATGCAATGCTAGCTGCGGCCATGAAAATCTCAGAATATGTAGTTGTGATATATAATTTCCGAACGGGAATAGCTAAACGGTCAATTTTAGTCGAGAAACATTGTTTTATAGCTTATTTAATATTTTGACCTTGAGAGGGAGCTATACAACATAAAAAGTTTATTATTTACAATTTCAAAACTTTAGACTCGATTTCGACTGCGACAACGATCACTGAACATTGTAGGATCGCATATGCTTCCAATATATTAATTTGAATCAAATTCATGACCCCATACCAAAACTTTGTATTACCTTTAAGCTCCAACAGCTTTTATCAGCGCAGTGCATTTCAAGGAATAATCCTACCAGGTACATGTACCTGTTTACATTTATCTCACCTGGCTAGAGTGTGGCAAATGTAGATTAACTTACCGAGATCTTTGTCATTTAGTCCAAGATGGTTGTCCAGTTCTGTACACACTTTAGATACAAGGGACAGGTGTTCTAGACGTTCTAGCTCGTCCATTTTGATCAACGATTTTGATGTGTATATATGCGGCTGTAAAACATCAGATTCAGAAGAGAAAATTTCAATTTAGTTATACAATAAAGAACATACAGCCATAACAAAAGTAATTAATACAAATCTAAAAAACAACAATAATGATATAAAAAAATGAAAATAAATTGGTAAGCCAGATTACGTACAGCCTTTCTGGCTTGATCTTTCGGCATAGCGCTGCATTTTGCATGCTGTATGAATCATGGACCTGCTGCACCAATCACATTGCTTAATGCCAATCAGGTAAGCTACATGTAAGTTAGAGTTAGAGTAAGGTTTAAGCCGTTCAGGTTGGTGTTGCAAAAGTGTGAATTTTACCCCCAAAATATGTTTCAATTTCAATGTACACTATTTCAATATTTGCGACCATGCAAAATTGGTCAATGATTTTATGAATAAATTGAAATTCAAACCTTTATTTCTTGTGATCCTGAAGGTGAAACTCAATAAATGAAGTGTCATATGAAACAGTAGGTTTTTCTCCATATTCCCCAAGGGGGCGCACCTCAAAATTCCAAAAATATCTTGGTCAAAACAGTGATTGAAATGTTGTTTGCATCCTAGCTCAAAATTTGCCACTTTCCTGAAGCGCACCCCCCGGGCTTATGTCCAGCTAGATGTACAGTAAGGACAATATCTACATGTATGCACTTATTTTTTTGCTAGCCCCAAGAGATCACTCTCCCCTACACTCCCAACAGTTTAAAAATACCCTTCCACCTATTTGTTGGATCAGCTAATAGGCCTGTTTACTAATGATATGCGAGTGACGTCATAATCCCTCGCACCCTAGCGATTGTTACTACGTAGGGCAAGCTTTGCGTGGTGCGGCACGGTCGCCACATTGTTTTTCCATGCCCGCTACGCTATACACATACAAAGCCATTGCTAGCGACCGCGACGTTTTTTCACCCTAATTTCTACAATGGCATCGCCTTCGACATCGAGTTGTAGTTCCAGCAAGCCGTTTTCGCAGTGGACAGTGAAGGAGCTCACCGATTATTTAAGAAAGAGAGGAGTTACGACATCAGGGTACAACAAACAGAAACTAGTTCAACTTGCGACTGCTGTGGCCGATATCGCTTTGCCCCAAGACCCGGACCTTGCGAGCTTCGACTCCGCACGGTCGCTGCGGGAGAAGTTGGAGCGTGCGGGGTGCTCGTTCGACGACCCAATGAAAATCACCGGCTACACCGAGAACTTTGAAAGTATACCAGATTTCGGATTATACGACATTTTCAACTACCTGATAGTAAATAGAACTGACTACGACAGAAAGAAACTCAAAGCATATAAATCGTTTGAGGACTATCGTCTATTCTTAATCCATATTTTACACTTCTCCAGGTTCGTCTTTGGTTTGGGGAACGGGATGAAAAACACACCATTCATATGGGGTCTGTCTGCGTACCGTGAATCGCTGTTACACGTGCCGTAACAGCAATGCTTACCTCCCATTTTTGCGATATTTCGTCGGATTTCGGAAAATAAAATCGAAGATTTGTCATGTACAACTGAGAAAAACTATATTTATTTTAATTATATACCCTAAGGTTGGAAAACAAACAGTTTTAAACGAAGTTTATTAGGACGATGATCAGCCTTTTTTTCCTCGCATTCCCCACATCGCCGTATACAAAGTGTGTGTAGCAGGGCCGTAGCAGACACTGCGCTCGGTTTGTTTGCCAGAGCTTACAACCGTGTGCAAATTTAAAGGTCCGTGAATACATTAGTAAACAGGCCTATTACGGAGGCATTTTCCATGTTGTATCGTCGACTCAACACGGCAAAGAGAAAGTACGCATGCACGGTAGTGCGTACTTTCTCTTCGCCGGTTGAATCGACGATACAACATGGAAGAATCATCGGGTAGGACGAAAAATCACCCCCTTTTTCCCATCGAAGACTTCTTCAAATCATAATTTCAAGTTGCCAGATACATGCCCAGAGGAGTCAAGCAACCTGGTAAGTCAAAATTGTAATTACTCCCTTTGCATATTTTGAGGTAATGTCGCCCAACCGCTGTTTGAATGTTTTTCGATGTACCAGGCTTAAGCTCCCGACGCTTTCTGGATCGGCGTCGGAGCTTCCTGGAGTTAGTGCGCGATCAGACACCCTAGTATTGGTTGCGATCGCGCTCTAGTAGCGCATGCAGCTAAACAACTAGGGTACCGCGTACGCTTGCACGCGAAGATCTAGATCTAGAGTAAAGGAGCCGGTAATCGGCCAGCTCCAGTTTTCGGCCGATTGGTTGGATGCAAGGTAAAATCACTCTAAAATACATCGCATAATAGCATAACACATATCCCACTCATACCATACCATGCCAGTGTCACTGAAGAACCACATTTGCAATGAAAAATATATCCTAAAATATCACATTTTAGCGATGTAATCGGCGGTCCCGCTACCTGAATCTGAAAAATCGAGTGTCTTATTCTTACGCGTGTATGTAAGAAGTATGGGTACCATAAAATCAGCTTTATTTCAAGTATTTTTCAGATTTAGAGCCCGATTTTGTGTTAGTCGCAAGCTCAAAAGTATCTCATCGCATGTATTAAATCAATGCAGCCGGACCCTGCCACGCACACACGATATGTCTGTCTAATTCAGATTCCAACTTCTGATCACCGCTGTGCCTGTCTTCGGCCAGGCGAGCACCAGGGAGCTCCGGCGTGGGATACCTGCTCCGCCCGCTTGTGCTGTACATCAGCGCGGAAACGCACGGCGCGCGCGAGCGCTTCCTATTGACTTTGTACATGCGGCCATAAACTGAAACGCTCAGCCGATAACTGGCTCCAAAACAGTGAAAATTGAAATGAATATTGTCATGGCAATTCGTGATTTTTTTCTGGGATTCTTTTTTTGTTTAAATAATAATAATATTTGCTTCATGATTTGAACAAAAAATGATAATAAATAGGAAGTAAAGGGTCCTAAAAATAGGATTTTGTCTTAAGTGGCCGAAAACGGGCTCCTTTACTCTAAATCTAAAGAAAATCGGGGGAGAATTTTTTTTGACCAAAAGTGGTACAAAATTGGCTCAATCTCTCCGTTGTGTGAGACGTACGGGTTACCATCTGTGTATGGGGAATGTTGACAAATGTCAATTTTATTAAAGAATGACCGATACCAGACGGTTATTTCTGTCTAGCTAGCTCCACGCAGGATTTAATGGTCAGAAATATGGAGACGAAAGTAGACTAGCGAGTAGCGCCGCCTTATTTGCACTGCATTGGTATTGCGCTCACGCTCAGCTCGGCTCAGATCTCGCTTGTCACAACACACAACTAGCACTGTGTAATTTGTAGCAACTAGCAACAACACATTCACTCTTACTTGTAGCATTAATTTAAACTTCAGAAAATAAGTCTGAGTAAATAGTAAATAGTAATGAAACTCACACCTTACACGGTTACATACAAATTAATAGACAGCTTTCAAAATGAAACTTACATCAAACCTCGAGCTCGAGTTCCTTCGTATCAAAATCGTCGTCGTTAGATTGCGAAACCTAGCATTTGAAGTCGTCCCGAAGCCTTTACAAATACATCGCCATCTAAACTTCAGCCCATCAGCTAGCTCGCTCCACAATTCATAAAATTTAATGTTACACGAATGATTAAAAACTGTTGGGATTGCATGGCAATGGTTAACTTATTCAGGGGCGGGCGGCCGAGCGATTTCCAAAGGCAAAGTGGGGGGGGGGGGCACCAAGAAAAAAGGGCACCTTCAAAGGGAAATGTCAAAGCTAAAAATATATATTTTGTTAGACCAGGGATATGTGAGTTTAAACTCACATATCCCTGGTTAGACATTGGCAAGTGCCAATATCTGACGACGTCATTTTCCAATTTCCGGGGCAAAAAAAAGTGTTCTAACCACCACCCCCCCCCCTGCCCTAACCCCCCCCCCCCCCCTCAAAAAATGTACCCCTTCCCCCAAAAAGAGCTTTTGCATTTCGCAACGACTCAACGGGCCGCTGAATAAGGGGGGGGGGGGTAAAAGGTTTATATTTGTTTTGTTTTGGTCCCGAAAATTCGAAAATCGCGCCGGCCGCTGGTGGTGGGGGGGGGGGGGGGGGGGGGTTATGAGCACTTATCAACTATTTTCTTCTAAACCGCTTAGAAGCAAATTGGAATTTGCGGTGTACAAATATCGCTTTAATGATGAGAGGAAAAGGGAACACTTGTCAGAAAGAAAAGGAGCACCTGTCAAAAGTACAAAGAGTAATTATCAGAGGTGAAAATTGGGCACTTCTTACACCTTCAAAAAAGGCACTTACCAGGGATGAGATAAGGCACTTATGAAAATAGGAAATGGGCATTTGTTGACGGAAAAGGGCCCCATCAGATGTTGATAGGGGTATTTATAAGAGGTGAAAAGGGGCATTTATGAAAAGGGGATATGTCCCTTATTAGACAGGACAAGGGGCACGTATGACACCCGAAAAGGGGCAATGACCAAATATGAAAACGGCCACTTATGGAAATGAAGGAGGCACTTATCTGAAGTGAAAAGGGGTATCTTCTCGTACCTGAAAATGGACATTTACAGAGATAAAAACGGGCATTTATGAGAAGGGGAAGAGGCTTTTTTGTAATGGGGGCACTTATCATTAGGGAAAGGGGCACTTATTATAAAGGAAAAGGGGCACATGCGAAAATATAAGGTGCGCTTATCTGCGTTAAAAAGAGAAAGGGGCACTTGTTACACAGGAAAATGGGCACTCACAGAGTAAAAGAAGCACCTCTCAGATTTGAATGGGGCAAATTATCAGAGAATGGAAAATGGACACTTATTGCAAAGGAAAATCGGAACTTGTCGAAGGAAAAGGGGCACTTGTCAAAATAAAAGGGGGACTCATCAGAGGTGATAAGGAGAAGGGCCAATTTTATAAATTAATAGTGGCACTTGTAAAGGGGGCAATTTTCCTATAAAAAAAAGGTTTGTGTGTGTGTGTGTATAATATGCAGCTATCGACCCACGAGCCAGTCTCTTTGAGTAAATTAAGATTCACGTAAGTTTAAATGTACGATTTACACAAGATAGCCAACGTATAGTGAGATTTGGGGTGTATATATTTAGCTTAGACCTTCATATCAATGAAAACTTTCTACTTGCAACTGATATTGATAACATTTACTTTATTTGTACTTGTATTAAAGAGAACTGTTGGGTTAGAGCGTCCTTGGACGGTGTGTGCGCTTTATAAGTTTACACTCCTATTATTATTATTAAGGTAACGTCTACCAATGAATTATTAACTGTATTATGTCTTGACAATAGCAACACAGCTGTTTTATACTGTTATGTAATTACAAATTGGCAATCAACTATCTGATATGGTTATATGGGATTTATATGGGATATAAATATGTTGACAACACGGCTGCCTCGTACTGTTATAAAGGCTATATTATGTCATGAAATTGGCAACAATTTAGGCTGTCTCGATCATAAACGTTATATTGGCCATTGTCATGAAAATGGCAACACGGCTGTCCCATAACGTTCTATTGGGTAAATGTATAAAACATGAAAATGGAAACACGACCGTCTCATAGTGCCATACATGTATAATGAAAATGGCAACACGGCTCTCTCATATAATGTTACAAACTTAGGCTGTATGCGGGGCTATAAGTCGTAAAATGGCAACACGACTAAGGGCGCGTTCATGCTTGATTTTGACGGCCAGAATCAGGCATCTGTTACGCGTTTAGTTTAAAACACGGTTGCGTCTTAGCTCACTTTTGTAGAATCACCGAAAAACGGCGATCACGATCGCCGATCGTAAACTCACAAAAAGATGCGTTTACAATTTGTAAACGCGTTTAAAACTTTAAATGGGGTCAACGCACTGACCTCTAGTGGGTCTACGTAGCATGCACAGTGAAGGTTTGCGAATCCAGCTGGAAGACCAATTAAGGCCACACACTGAGAATTGCCTGGGGGAGCCAGAGAAGTAAGCATGAACACTACATCGTGGAACTGCGATCACGATGAGCGTTTACGATGAGCGTTTCAGATCGCTCATTCTGCCTTCAAAATTTAAGCATGAACGCAGCCTATGTCATACTGTTTTATTGGCTAGCAAAATAACATGAAAATCGCAACACGACTGTCCCATATTGCTATGTAATGAAAATGGCAACACGGCTGACTTATAATGTTACATAGGCAGACGCGTACGGGGGGGGGGGGGGGGGGTGGGGGTTCAACCCCCTAAAACTTTGTGTATATGTGTGTTTTTGAGGACCCCCCCCCCCCTTCAATTTTTTTTCAAATTTTGGGACACACACAACAAAATAATGTCCTCTCACCCCCCCCCCCCCCCCCCAATTGCCAATTTCACTTTATATAGCCTAATTATGTAACATTATGAGACAGTCCGTTTGCCATTTTCATGTTAAATAGCCTATACCGTGACTAAATCCCCCCAAAAAGTTTACACTCAGAAAATTGTCATCTTTTTAAAAAGTCAGCTATGAACGAAAGGTTATCATGCATGTTTTATTTATTTAATTATTTATTTACTATATAATGTCAAGTTGTATCTAAATAGAGAATAGGTACATTCAGTAAAGACACTGCTCTACAAGTACGCCCTCTAGGACGACATAACAAACATGTGATATACAACAGTACAATGAACACATGAAAAGATAACACTCCTTCTCAATGGAAATGTACATGACAAACGCCCAAGGGGAAGACCAGCTAAGAGATGAACAGACTGCATCAAGGCGGACTGCAAAAACAGACAAGTTGACTCCCTGACTAAAGCCACTAGGCTAACAGAAGACAGGAAGATGTGGCAAGCCGTTGTGAAACAAAATCCATCATACATCCCATCCCAGTGATGATGTGGACGGCTTAAGTCAAGTAAGTCAAGTAAAAAATTAAACATTGACATATTTGACATAATATAGAGTACAAACATATAAATCATAAGAAAAATAATTAATCATACCAGTAAAGGGAAAACGGAGAATCTACTATGATAGATATCTGGCCACTTGGCATCCGCGCTTAAATGTTTTAATTGATTTGGTTGATTGCATTGAGAAAGGACGTTTGTTAACCAGGATGCTTGCTTTATACGAGAATGGTATTTTTTAATTTGGTTTTGGGATATGGGATGTCAAGAAGAGAATCCGATGAATAGCAGGTACAGTAGTTAAGGTGCGATAATTGATAAATAATTTTAAATAAGTTGGGCCATGACATTTATAATTTTAAAAACTAACTCACAGTAGTGATAATTATTTTCATCTTTGTTTGACCGTTTACCAATTTCAATTTGTAAGAACGGCGTACATTGTGGTGCGTCGTTATCCTAGTTAAAATCAATCTCGCAATATAATTTGTAACTTTTGCAGCCACGATAAATTTTTCTTTGAGCAGTTTCCACGAAAAAGACAGTATCGTCAGCATAAAGTGATATTTTGGAATTATTATTATATTTTGAATTATTAATATCATTAAATATACAAACAAAAAATCAAGGGGCCCAGAATTGACCCTTGCGGCACCCCAGATTTAACAGTTAAATATTCGCTACAATTATTATTTATAGTAACACAATGTTGTCTACCAATTAAGTAAGATTTAAACCATTTATAGACCTCATTACTCATGCTATAGAAAATAAATTTATCATGTATTATTTTATGTGGAATAACGTCAAACGCTTTCCTAAGATCGTAAAATAATGTTCCAGTAATCTGACCCGAATTCGTATCATCAAGAAGGTAATCAGTCATTTCTGTGAGACATTGTGGTTGTGGAATGAAGTGGTCTAAATAAAGACTGACGTTCTGATAATGAATTGTTTGGTAACATTACAGGTATGTTATTCAGGATTCTGTTTGTGGTATGGGCCTAACTAATAAAAGCCAACACCTGGTGATACATTTCTCTCTCTAAAAAAAAGTGATATTAGTTAATTAGATAATATTACAGGTATGTTATTCAATTATGATGTCACGTGATACTTTCTGACTCTTCTATACATTGTATATACATCTAGTAATAAAGTGTTGTCCGTTTGTGATATGCGCCTAACCAATAAAAGCCAACACCTTGTGATACTTTTCTCTCAAAAAGAGTGATATTAGTTAATTAGGTAATATTACAGGTATGTTATACAATTATGATGTCACCTGATACTTTCTGACTCTTCTGTACATTTAGTCCATGGGCCAGACCAGATATTGGTACCATCAGAGGTGGCAAAACCTTTATACTTTTTTTGTTTGTTGGGCATATATACGTGTAAAAAGTTGTGATAGCATTTCCGAATGTACAGCTTAGTCATATAATCAGCAGTTTCCATGGCAACACTACACTAAAACCGGTATTATTCAAAGAATCAGTTAAAGTCATTTAAAAATTATAAAAACACTTTTGAATGCGTAAAAATGTACATTTTAGAATACCTCACCATAAAGGAAAGTAATGAAATGCAAATTACATTACCATTTATAACGGTTGCCATAGTAACGACCCCAGA